GCCCGATGGCCAGTCCGGGCCTGCTCCCAAGTAAAACAGTACCCCCCCATGTACAGGTTTTAGGGTGTCATAGAAAGTTACAGGGTTAAACACAGTGCTAGCAAATTAAATTCTCTGGACTTTCGGCCTGGGTTCTCAGGCATATCCCTCAAATTGCAATCAATAAAATTACTTAATTATGTAATAATATTACATAAATATGCACGTAGAATTTAAATATATATACATATTTATATATTTTAAGTCTACATGTATATTTATGAAATTATTTATGTAATTATGTATATGGACATATGTATAGTTCGTATTATTTTTATTTATTTATTTATACATAGATATATATATATATATAATTTCATTCTAAGTGTATTTTGATATAAATATATATATATATTAATATCAAAATACTGTTAGAATAAAATTACATATATATATATATATAATTTTTTTAAAATTATTAAAAATTATTTTTACATTTTTAAATTTATTTTTATATACTTGTTATTTATATTTTATAACATATATATATATATATATATATATATATATATATATACACACACACACAATATATATAGTTATTATATATATTATATATATATATACACACGTGTGTAATTTAATTATAAGTGTATTTTTATATTAATATATGTTTATATAAATATAAAAATACACTTAGTATGACATTATATATGTGTGTATATATATATATATATATATATATATATATATACACATATGATATATAGATATAATACATGTGTATATATATCTTATATATACACACACACACACACATTTTTTTTATTTTATTTTTTTTACACTAATTGATTTTATTTTTAGTTTTATTTTATGATTTTTCACTTGCAGGGAGACTGCCTGTCAGCACGGGTAAATAGGGCCCTGGAATGAGGCACATCATTGGCCCCAGCAGCACCCTTTAAAAAAAAAAAATTAATTCTTTATTTTGTCATGCGTAGATAAGATAAATTACATTTACGCCAGCAATGCCACAACAGCTAATGCCAGAGTTTACATTTTCATAGAAAGACAGTTGTATGGCATGGATAAATAGTGCACTTTTTTAAATTTAAGAAGAGTGAACAATAGTCATAGCGTGCGTGGCTGTATAAGCTTATCCACTGAGTAGGTTAGTAATAGTGTCCTAGACACTTGTGAGTCATGTGATGTTTAGTAATAAAACAAGCTTATAAGACAGGAGTAAGAGATTCGTCTAGGGCCATATGTTAATGTAATATGGGTAATATGGTTAGGTATGTCATATCACAGTAGTTGATTAACCATGTAGGAGCTGTATAAACATTCAAGTTGTATGCTAAGATTACACAGGCTAGTTAGACAGGGATATTAGACATCGCTTAAGGAAAGGAGGCCTCCATATATTTTAGTAACTAGGTGCTATGTGTTAGTGGGATCAGATGGAGTCGGAGACGTATCAGTACAGGCATAAAACAATATATTAAATCACATGCAGTAGTTAGATAGCAGTACTGTGTGTGAGAGGGAACAACAGGCATATCTAGTGTCCCCCTGTGCCTATCTCTTACTCAGCCAATGCCCGTAGCTGTCAGGCAAAGTCCAGACCTATTTGCAGGGTAGCATGATTCTTCCAGCATGTCTGTTCGGCTCATTGCGTCGGTGGGGACTGACTCCCTGTATCTGCAGGCTGTCTTCTCTGTGCGAGCACATAGGTGTGTGAGCCCGTTTGATGGGTCATCCTCTGCTGCCCTTGGTGTCATGCTGCTAGGGGTTATAGTTGGGGCGATTGTCCCTGCTCTTCGGGCGTTGAACAGGCCCCTTTCTGTCGCTGGTTCTCCTGATGCTTCAGGGTTGTGATAGCAGCATCCTTTTAATGTACTCCTCCTTGTCACATGTAATATGTAAGGGGCTTCCAACAGTCAACAAGTGTAAGTGTGTGAAGGGCTTTTCTAACAATCTGAATGACTGGAAAGGGGGATGGATGATGTGCCTGTTTAAGGACCACTATAGTGCCAGGAAAACATACTCGTTTTCCTGGTACTATAGTGCCCTGAGGGTGCCCCCACCCTCAGGGTCCCCGTCCCGCCGGGCTTTAATATGTCTAATTTAGGATCTAATGTGATATTAAAATCACTGCCAAGGCTTTTTTGTTGCTAATGAGCAGGGAGATCGGCCACTTCTATATTATATAATATAATATAATCTTTGTTTGACTAAAAATACATTATTCATAATATATTGTAATTTTGCTAAATTTAAGGTTATTGTTTTTACTTTCATTTTTGGGTTATTATTTTTCTTCTTCCTGTTAAGATAGGTTAACAAGCCTGTTTTTAACTTCATGAAATTGTAGGTGTATCTCCTGAACACAATCACTTTTTGGACCTTACACCCAGGTGGGTGGAGGAGAGAGGTATGGGGAAGGTGCAAAGGTTGATTATACCTGAACTGAAAACTGCAGGCTGTGTGGAAAGCCAACAAAGAAGCATATTTGACATGCACATGCAAACTGAAGTGCTTTATATGTTTATAATGATCTTTTAAATAAACCTTCATTCCTGGCTAATCATGGCAGCATCACTTATGGGTAGCTCCTCCCTTAGCAGTCACAGGATAGGAATTAATTAGATTAATTAATTAGACTGATGGGTATAAAGAGTCCCTCCTCCCCTTACACCTCAGTCTTTTTTCCTGTCCTTAGTAAGTTCTACAGGACTTTTTTTTTATGGCGACCTTCCTGCGTTTGTCGTGGGTTTGTTACAAATGAAGTTCAGCCTCTCTTCATTTGAAGGACCAAGTAAACAGCCTGCATGTGCAGGACTAACTGGGTCAGGTTCAGCGTAAGTACTGAACTGCAGCGTGGGATGGATGTCAGGTGTTCTGAGGGAGACACTGTTCCAATTTATCATGGGGTTGGCTATCCTTAAAAATTCCCCTTGTTATTGGCTTACCCCTAGTAATTGGGGTCTAAAATCCCCCCTTACCTTGATGGCTGTTCTTTTGAATCCATACTGAAGGGGGTCATCCTGGGGTATGGCCCTGTACAAGCCGGTTGTGTTTGGCTGTCTGTTCATTCTTCCTATGTAGACTGATTTATCTGGTGGTTCCCTGGGGTGTCTCCTGGGTGCTTGCTGGGAGTGTTTCTGCTGCGGCTGTGGAGGCACTGCGCCGACTTCGTTTGGCTGTCTGGGGGTACCAGCGTGTTAGCTGGAACGCAGTATGCGTTACAGCAGTCTGGGTGTAGTTGCGGCCGGATCCGGCGAACCCGGAAGTGCCTTGCATCGGCTGCGAGGTTTGGAACGCACGGCGTACGTTCCAGTGGTCTGCGAATGCGTGGACCAGACGCGGCTCTATTTATACTGGATGATGCTGACACTCTACCTGTGCGCTGTGTCAGCTGTTCAGGCGACTGGATTTCGGTACTGAGTTCCTTGCCTTTACTCCTGTGCTGTTGTTTCTTGGCTGTCCGGAGTGTTTCCTGTCACTATAAGGTAGGATTACCAGTTCTTCTATGTTTCTTGTTGGGGGTTTTGTTTTTGCTTGTCAGTTTGCCCTTTGCTTCTTATTGGAAATTGTGTTTTGAACTTTCCTTTTATTCTCCCTTAGAGTATGGATTCTCCCTCTGCCTCTGCTAGATCCCTAAAACATAGGTGAGCCATTTCTTTTTAATAGGGGGGTTGTTAAAAAGAGTGCCATACTGAGCCTGTAATATATGTTATATATGGCTTTATTTCAGCCCCAGCAAACAATTGGATTCTCCAGCAAGGAAAAAAAAACAATAAATGCATTAATTGTTCGTCACCGGCTCCGCATGAAAGGAACCTTTGCAGGGAATGCTTGTTGGAAGTGGCTAATGTCCCCAGTAGGGGTTCCCCGCAGGACGACCTTAAACTTTGGATTTCCCAAGCTATTGCTGAGGGCTTTAACTCTACCACGGTGTCTAGTGGTCCGAGTAAGAGACGCAGATCGGAACCTCAGTCTTCCAGCTCTGGAGAAGACCCTGACCTGTGGGAGGTCTTGCATGATGGTGAGGAGGAAGTTGAATATACCTCCAGGTCTCTTGACTCGAAGTCTATTGATAGACTTATTACCCTCCTCAGAGACACTCTTAGTCTCATGGAAGAAAAGTCTGAATTGAGAGAAGCTGACAGGTTTTTTGAGAACTTAAAACCTAATAGACCGACTTTCCCGGTACACTCCTCAATTAGGGACATGATCCTTCAGGAATGGAATAAGCCAGAAAGGAAATCCACCTTGAAAAATACATTCACAAGGATTTATCCTTACTCTGCCATAGACTGCTGCCTATGGAATTAGGTTCCTAAGGTTGATGCTGCAGTGATCCATATGGCTAAGAAAACTATGCTTCCTATTGACTCCATGGCATATCTCATAGAGCCTATGGAAAAGCGTTTGGATGGGGATTTGATTAAAGCCTACTTGGCCCTGGGCTCCGCAGTGGCACTAACCACTCTCTCCAGGGCCTTCAGAGTGTGGCTCGCTAACTTGGAGGAGGACATTGATCAAGGTGTCCGTAGGGAACATCTCTTGGAGAGTCTCAAGGACTTTAGCCTTGCCACTGATTTTTTGTACGGAAGCCTCCCCGGACATCACTCACATGATTGCCAAAAGCATGGCCCTGTCTGTGGCCTCCAGAAGGGCTTTATGGCTTTATTCGTGGGGGGCGGACTATACCTCTAAGGCGTCCTTGTGTGGCCTTCCGTTCCAGGGGGATCTCCTGTTTGGTAAGATTCTGGAAGATGCTATTCAAAAAGCTGCTGATGGGGAAAAAAGCATTTTTGCCGCAAGTGAGCAGAAAGAGCTTTTCCTCCTCCTGGAAGACTAAGCGATTTAAGGATCGGTCCTTTTGGGACAGTAGAAGCTACAAACCTGGAAGGGAGTATTCCAGAAATTCTTTGTGGAAATCCTTCTCTCACTCTTCATCCATAAGGCTTCCAGAGGCAGAGGAGCCAGAACCTCTGGGAAGACCCTCTGAAGGTCTTCGGGCCCATCCGGGAACGGTGGGTGGAAGACTGAAGTTCTTTTACCCGGCGTGGGCCGCAAATATTACGGACATGTGGGTCACATCCATCATAAAAGAGGGTTACAGGATGGAATTTTCTGCTCGCCCAAAAACCGCTTTCTTTCAAAGGTGTCGGCAGGTAGCAAACGAAGGGCCATGAGGGCCTGCATTTCCACTCTTCTGGAACAGAAGGTGTTAGAGGAAGTTCCAAAACAGGGGGGGGGGTTATTCCACAGTGTTCTTGGCTCCAAAACCCCATGAAAAGTGGCGTCTCATCCTGAACTTGAAAGGAGTAAACTCTATGCTCGACGTGAGAACGTTCAAAATGGAATTTTTAAAGGCCATCCTGAAAAGCGTCAAAAAGGGAGACTGGATGACTCTATAGACTTAAGGGACGCCTACTACCAAATCTCTATAAACCACAATCATATGCATTTTCTTCGATTCTGGGCATTAGGAAGACACTTTCAGTCCCGAGGACTGCCGTTTGGCCTAAGCTTGGCACCGAGAACGTTTTCAAAGGTTCTTGTCTCTTTGATTGCCGTCATAAGGATGAGAGGTATCGAGATCTTCCATTACTTGGACGACATCCTCATCATAGGTCCATCGTGAAGGATAGTGGCTCATCATACATTGGTGGCAATGAACATTCTTCAAGACCACGGTTGGCTTCTGAACGTAGAGAAAAGCTCCCTAATTCCGTCTCAAACTATCGTATTTCTCGGAGCAGTAATAAACACCATCTCTGCCCATGTGTTCCTGTCTCCAGAAAGGGTCATGAAGATCACAAGCAAAATCGAGAAGCTTCAAGGTCTTGAAATGGCCTCGGTAAGGGAAGTCATGAGTCTCCTGGGTTCTTTAACATCTACGATAGGGTTAGTAAACAGATTGGGAGCAGAAGATATCTCTTCCCCTGCCAGTGAGGAAAGAGTTGAACTGGTGGAAGAGCAAGAAGAATTTAGCAAAAGGCTTCCCGTTGGAAGAGCCTCCATGGAACATTATTACAACAGATGCCAGTTCTTCTGGATGGGGTGCCCACTTCAATTCCTTGTGGACTCAAGGAAGTGGACCCGAGAAGAGAGTCAGCTACACTCAAATCTAAGAGAACTGAGAGCTATTTCCAAGGCTATCTTGGTATTCCTACCAAGGATCAGAGATTCCTGGGTGTTGATCAAAACGGAACCGAGCAGTTGCTTCATATGTAAACAACCAAGGAGTCACAAGAAGCAAATTGCTTTTGAAGGAACTAGCTCTCTTAATTACGATGGCCATGAATAATCTCCAAGGTCTGAAGGCAATCTATCTTCTAGGTTCGGAGAACATGAAAGCGGACTTTCTCAGCAGAACAGAAATTCTTCCAGGAGAATGGAAACTTCACCAGGCAGTCTTCGCATGGATTGCCCATCGGTGGGGCATGCCCCAGATCGACCTGATGGCATCCTTCCAGAATAGTCAGGTGGAGAATTACTACTCCCTCCACCCAGAAAGTCAGGCAATGGGCTAGGATGCTCTCTCTCTTCCTTGGTCATTCAATCTGGGGTATGCGTTCCCTCCCCTTCTCATGATACCCAGATTCTTGCAGAAGGTTTGGTCGGAAGGGAAGAAGGTTATTGCCGTAATTCAAATTTGGCCTCGGAGGCCGTGGTTCCCCCTATTATCTATGATGAGCCAGGAACAGCCTTGGCCTCTTCCTGTTATGGAGGATCAACTAACACAGGGTCCAATATTTCATCCTCTTCCGGAACGCCTCAAATTGGGGGTTTGGGTCTTGAAAAATCAAAGGATCTCCCCTGCCAGCCCTAGTAGGGCTGGCATTATCCAAGCACTGTCCCTGCTGTGTGCATTCATAGGCCGGTGGAGATATATATGTTACCCACTAAACATTTCACTAAAGTAATAGATATACTGCACAATTATCTGTATATATTTCTGTTTTCTTTTGTATATGTATTACATTGGAGAATATAAAGGATAATTGCCTTTGAATCACAGGTAAATTCACTGTGTTTTCACACATTACACAGCGCTGCACTCATAAAGATAGAAGACCTGAGGGGTGGTAACACCCATCAGATCTGAAATCTTTTTCGTCTTTTGGTGTTTATCTTTGTATGGTGGGCTTTTAGGAGTACCCATAGAGTGTAAACAGCAGCTAAAATATACTGTTCACATTAATTACTCAGCGCCACATATTCCACACCTATTGTTAATATATTCAATCTGTGAGTAAAAAATACCTAGGCCAAATGTTTTTCCAGTCAGGTGTTCTATCAAATTTCCCCACCTGATAGAACACCGGCCCTGCTGCAACTCGTACACAATGCTACATAAACAGGCACAGTACACACATTTTAAAGGTTTTTTGTTTTTTTTTGTGATTTAAGGAAATTCCTACTGGCCAATGTGTTTTTTTTTTCTCATGTCACACCCTGAGATATAATGTAACATCAGGTGACATTGTGGGGACATACTAAAAGGAATGACAGATTGGAATGCCCATAGACAATAACGGAGGTAAAAGGAATGCCCATAGAGAATAATGGAAACAAAATATTTCAATTAGAGACAAAACTATTAGACATATGAAATAAATATTTTGCTGACATACTCTCCAGATTCAGTGGCAATTTTTGAAATTGAGATTAGGTGGGGTTATTGATGTTTTCTATGGAATGACAAGGGTAAATGAATAAAGAGAATGCCCATAGAGTATAATGGGATGTAAAATATAAACTCATTTGCAGGCAAATCTGTGTTACATAGCAAATTAACCTTTGCCACAGGTGTTCCCCAAGTACAGCAGCAGATTGTAAAATTAAAAATAACTGGGATTATAGCTCTTTTCTATGGAATGACAGGTAGATGATACAATGGAATGCCCGTAGAATATAATGGGAAGCAATATGTGACTTGGAATCTGAACCGTGAAACATATCAAGTAAATCTTTTGCAGGCATAGTCTACGAGTTCAGTGGCAATTTTTGAAATTGAGATTAGGTGGGATTATCAATATTTTCTATAGAATGACAATGGTGAATTACTAAAATGAATGCCCATAGAGTATAATGGGAAGCAACACAAACTCATTCGCAGGTAAATCTGTGTTATGTAGCAACTTCATCTTTACCACAGGTGTTCCCCAAGTACAGCAGCGGATTGTAAAATTAAAAGTAACTGGGATTATAGCTCTTTTCTATGGAATGACAGGTGAATGATACAATGGAATGCCCATAGAGTATAGTGTATATCAACCCTTTTGTAAGGAAATCTGAAAGACATAGCAAGTTAAACATAGCATCCCTCCTTAGGCTACGTGCTGTTGTCTATTACTACAGCCCCTAACCCTCAATCGCAGCCACTACACCCTACTACAGACCCTACTATAGTCCTTTAATCCCCACTACAGCCCCTATACTATACTTTAACCCCTAACCCCTACTACAGCCCCTTACTGTAAAATTGCAGCCTCCATACCCTACTACAGCCCCAAACCCCCTACTAAAACCCCTTTAATCCAACAGCAGCCCCTAACCCAACTACAGCACCGAACCCCTCTATTACAGCCCCTTATTCCCCATCAGCCCCTATCCCCAAAAGAAGCTCATATCCCCCACTACAGCCCTAAGCACCCTACTACAGTTCCATACCCCCACCCCACTGCAGCACCTACCCCAAACTACAGTACCTACACCCAAATGTAGCCCAGATCCCCCACTACAGCCCCTAACATCCCTACTACAGCCTCTATCCCTCCAACAACTGGGAACCAGCACTGATAAGCTTTTTGGTGGAAAAGCTGGCACGTAGGAAGTGGGTAACATGCTACCTGGTGAAGTTGGGGAGCCCAAAAAGTTAAAGTAGTTTCCACAGAAAATAGGTGTGGTTCAACATGTTATGTTTGTGAAGGGGAATAGTTAGTTATATAGACATGCCTAACTGGGTGGCGCCAGAAGTATTATTGCAACAAAGCCACCAGTGACCCTAGGATCTGCCCTGTCCCTTTAGGAGGGCATGCATTCAGTGGAATGCATGATAAGAGCATTGTGTTGTATATGAAAACCATTACTGTTTTGTGTTCGACAAATGTATCTACAAAAACACATCACACAAATTAAGCATACCAACCCACAACTCTTATTCTTTGCAGTGAGTGTACCTGCATTACCTACGCACCTTGGACGTAAAAACCCTAGGGCATAGTATAGGATATTTGATACCCTACTAACCTCAACATCTGAGGAAAGCATTTAGGAGTAATTATTTCAGATGTAGAAAAGAGCTATATTCCCAGTTACTTTTAATTTTACAATCCACTGCTGTACTTGGGGAACACCTGTGGGTAAAGATGAAGTTGCTACATAACACAGATTTACCTTCAAATTAGTTTATGTGTTGCCTCCCATTATACTCTATGGGCATTCTCTTTAGTCATTCATCCTTGTCATTCCATAGAAAACATTAATAATCCCACCTAATCTCAATTTCAAAAATTGCCACTGAATCTGGTGTGTATGTCAGCAAAAGATTTATTTTATATGTCTAATAGTTTTGTCTCTAACTGAAATATTTTGTTTCCATTATTCTCTATGGGCATTCATTTTACCTCCGTTATTGTCTATGGGCATTCCACTGCCTTGTTAAAGTCTATGGGCATTCCAATCTGTCATTCCTTTTAGTATGTCCCGACATTGTGGCCTTTGAATAGAATGCATTATGCTAATTGGCATGGCCAGTATTTTTTTTCTCCAAAGATGGCAACCCTACTCTACCAGTTTAGTGCCCTTAGCAATTAGGCATTCTTTATTTTATATTCCCATCCCAAGAGCCCAGATATTTAAACCAGAGATGGAAGTATATAATAAATAGCAAACAGTAGGCATACATATGAAAAGCGCCCTCTAACCTTTTCTTTATGTTTTACGTGGGATGACAGGATACAGAAATGTGAATGAGAGGGCAAGGGTACTTCCCATATTCCTAGGAATAAGTGCTAATAATAGCAGGAAACATAGTAGGAGGGGTTCATGTGGTGTTTATGTACATTTTGTATTATATGGTGTTTGGATTTTGCAGTGCTGCTAATGTGAAAACACTAGCAGCTTGAAATATATTTCTATGTTTTTAATTTTGGAATGAAATAAACTGTAGTTTTTAATTAAGTCCTGGAGATTCTAATGTGTTTTACATCCACCATGCAAAATAAACGCTGCACTTGTTTGCCAGCATAGCTTTAAAATGAGTCATGCAGAGGCGGGGTATAGGAAGCTTAAAGCTCAACCATTTGATTATCCTATTGCCAAATGTTATCCTTCACTCAGATGGTGTGGAGCTTGCTTTCGTATTGTGAGGACTCTGTACTCTTTTAATTAACTTCAAATTTATGCAGTACTGACAGTACCCATGACAAATGGGCCCCACTGGGGTGATCTCCAGTCAAGGCATGTCCTGGTGGCTCCCTCTAAAGACTTTTATTTTCCTGACAATTCTTCTGGTGAGTAAGCCATAGTGTGACTATTGTGATTCTTGAGTGCTTCAAAAGTGTTACATTTATAGTATAAATATGACAAAGTATTCAAAGTATTGAACGTTTTTTTTCTCTCTTTATTTTTGTGTGCTGAATACCTTTAGAGTTTAGGAACCACAATTCCCACTAATGTGCATTTGTATACTTTGTGTCATTCAATTACAGTTATTACAGGGCTACTAATGGTAGGACAGGACTACCAATTATTTCACTTTATTTTTTGCATGTTAGTAAATTTACTGTCGCTAGAATCCAGCGTTATAAATTTCTAAACTCTGTTAACCTAATTAAAACTTTGTGAATTTGGAAAGTTAAAAATGCTAAGACATGAATTTACCTTAACAGCTTGGAGAATGATGATATGTTTAGGAGTCAGACACATTCATCTGAATTCAATGTGTTACATATGGGGGATATTTATCAAGATATTGGTAGTATTTTCCTTATTTAGCCAACTGTAGAACCTGTTAAAAAGCGTGAATCCTCTAGCTATATTGGCAGCAGGTCCAATTCAACCAATTAATTTTTCTTAGTTTGATAAAATGAGCATGATTAATCTTAATGAAATATAAAGAAAAGGAAACCTGTCAGAGAGAAGGTGTCAGGTCACTCTAAGGTTAGGGGGGATAACCCCCAGTATGAATAAACCACAGTATAGAAAAGAAAAACAAAAGGGTAAACAGTTTAGTAGGTGAGCCCCTTTGTAAAGCGAGTAACCCAAATAAAACGTAACTTTTAATAAGTATTGTATAAAATATACGTGAAAAAACTAAGTCAAATATATAAAAGTTGTCAGCAGAATAAATATAACTTCTGCCTATATAAGAAGAAATAAATTCCCCCCAAAATGCATAAAACACTTAGAGTAAGAATATATAGAGTGTCTCCCCTGGAAGAGCCTTAACAGCGAAACGCGTGTCGGGACGTTACTTTGCATGGTGTTGGTTCAGTTGATAAGGGGACATGCCTTGACACCATTAGATTATACCACCCATGCAAGATTTTTTTTACTTTTTATTTCACTATTTCTTAATTCATTTCTTTAGTTGTTTTGCTTTGGTTTCTCTTGTTTGACGCACTGCATTTATTTAACTTGGAGAAGGGGAGGGGGCAACCAGCACCTTTTTAACCCCTTAAGGACACATGACATGTGTGACATGTCATGATTCCCTTTTATTCCAGAAGTTTGGTCCTTAAGGGGTGCCCTCGAAGGCACAGCAGAGTAGGGAAGATAGCCTTTCCAATTTATAATTTTCTCTCCTTGATAATTATCACGATCTCTGGCAGGACCAATAGTTTTGCTACAATTAATGTTATCTTCCCCTTCTGGGTTAATAGACTGGCAACATATGTGACTCCCAGCATGTAGTTACACTTGTTGCTAATCTTGTATTAACTCATTGCAGTACTCATCAAAGCTTCTAATTACCACTGATTGAACAGTGAGATATTATTGGACTTATTTTCAAACTCTTTTTTTTAAAATGTTATTATTTCCTACTTTAATTGTCATTTATTTTTCTATCTATTTATTTTGAATATTTATTTAAACAGTATTACTTAGACACTCTATATATTCTTACTCTGTGTTTTATGCATTTTTGGGGGAATTTATTTCTTCTTATATAGGCAGAAGTTATATTTATTCTGCTAACAACTTTTATATATTTGACTTAGTTTTTTCACGTATATTTTATACAATACTTATTAAAGTTACGTTTTATTTGGGTTACTCGCTTTACAAGGGGGCTCACCTACTAAACGGTTTACCCTTTTGTTTTTCTTTTTTATACTGTGGTTGATTAATCTTAATATTACATATTTACCCATGATACACGAAAATGAGATATCATTTCAAAGTATCCCTCCTTTAAAATATTATCAGCTGCAGGTCTGGGTAAGTGCTAAATCCAAAGAGGAATAGACAAGTTTTATCTCCGTTTGGCAAAGATCAGCTAGAGCTTCAAGAAGTCCTTTCAGTGCTTCAGATGGCAGCAGACTCATGGTGTACAGAGCAGCACAAACAGACTTATTCACTAAATAAAGAATTGTCAGGAATAGCAAATTAAAGGCCAAAGTAGCCAAACTAGAAGCATCGTTGATTTGGAGAATGTTTCCAGTTTGACTACCCTGGCCTTAAATTTGAAATTAACTTTAAATTCCTGACCATTCTCACTATAGCAATTAACCATAAAAGTTACCTCATTATCAGGAAACATTTTAGTGATGAGGCATGAGTAGTAAGAAAAAACAACAACTTAATTCTGACATACAGAAACTGTTTCCTGGTATGAACCTAATACAATTAACAATCTATGAGTAATTCTTTGGTTATAATTACATAACATGGGCAAAACAACACTAAGCAGTGCATTGCCGTGAATTGAAATCTAATGGGCAACATTTAGGCCGACATAAAAGCTGTGAGTAACTATATAGCTGAATTGGAGTTTTGTGACAATTCAAGTGTTTAGCCAAATTTTACTTTTCTTATTAGAACTCACTGCAATTTGGAGTTTATTGAATACACCCAACATATTTCGCATAGATATTTCCTTAACCATTTGTCACTCACAACAAGTAGCTTTATTAGTAAAACGATATCACATTTGGTCACTGTGGTTTGTTGTCATGTCAATTAGTATGCATGAATGGGATGGAGCACGGGAGAGAGAAAGTTAGCAAGAGAGAGGAGGAATGCAAAATGGTGTACACACGCACGTTGCATTTATTAACTCCAAATATATAAGCCACAGATACAATGTAAAATGGGAACACCAAACGATCTGACAACGGTGTTTTTTAAAAAAAAAAAAAAAAAAAAAACATTTATTGCTGCTGGTGTAAATTAAATCGACAGCATGCATCTAAACTGTTTCTTTTCTTAGATGCAATAATATATATATATATATATCTACAAAAAAAATGGTTATGCGTCACCTGCATGTCTCTTGTTGGATTGTGAGAGTCCTCCTCATGCATTGAAACAGCAAGCTTCCACAATGATCCCAGAGTTCCCAGCTTGACATGCAAATTAGCACAGACATGCATTTCTACAGGTAAATTCCAACTTGAGAAGTTAAAAACTTTATAAGCATGCATTAAGTAGAAATAAAAAGGTAAATGTACGTACATTTTTTTTTTTTTTTTAAAACACCCTCCTTTCAAGCAGAACCCATAGGGACCACCACCTCCGTCCACTCTCCCCCACCCCCCCACCCCACCAATCTAGAAGACCCACGATGATATCACTCGTGCCTAAAACTAATCCTCCTCTCGCTACTCCTTCGCTAGTTTCCTTTCTCTCTCTCTCTCCTCTCTATAGGAGTCCTCACACCCAGCCCTAAGCTGGAACTTCCTTAAAACTACTGGGGTCCACACAGTCGGACACACCACAGAGTACCAAAGGCACATAAAGATGATGCTACCGCAGTCTTTAGAGACCTTATATGTACGGAAAGACATACGAGATAAGGGGCCAGCAACCGACAAACTAAAAGTCTAACGGGGCACGGACTAAGCTAGCTAGCGGCCCACAGAAGGCAATGAACATGCACATACAATTGCATAACTGTATAATAATGTAACGTTAATATAAAGAATGCACGCAATCAATGTAACAAAACAAAGTGCTGATACACTGTTCGATTGTACTAACTAATGTGTCTTGTGCCTGTCTGGATTTCCGGAATAAAAAGAAATAAAGAATTAAAAAAAAAAAAAAAACACCTCCTTTCTAAAAAAATATTCTGCAGTTGCGCGAAAACTGGTGGGCGGTAAGGACATTTTTTCAACCAAAAAGATGCATTAGTGGACAGTAGGTCGAAAAAGGTTGACTACCACTGCTCTAGTGGACCCGAGACACCAAGAGCTCACATTATACGGTTATGACTCCTACCATGCCTGGGTGCCTGGGAGAGGCGGCAGATCTCCCAACACAGACCGTGATGCACGCAACTCTCCTCCTGCAGCCTGCGACACCCCCACCCCCCCTTTGGACCGGTGGGGGTTATCCCAGTCCCTGCTGGGGAAACTTACTTCTCTGCAACAACAGAGTTCTCCGCTGACTGAAAGATTGCATGGCGCGGACAAGATGGGCGCCGCATTGCAGCACTCGCAGCATCAGGAAGCAGAATTCCGCAAGCTTGGAGTGGAGAGAGCACTTTGCAGCCCGTTTTGACAGGCTCTGTCAGAAGTTCTGGGAGCGTATATATGCCAGACCTCAACCCACTATTCAGCCTGAAACCCGAGCTGCGGTGTCAGATCACCAATCCCACTCCAGGAGGAAGGCCTGACACAATAAGCTTCTCAACCTCTGGTGATCCCCCGGGCTTGAAATCCTGCGGAGGGGCAAAGGAATATCCCTGGACAAGCAAAGTGGGCTCCCCTTTTGGCCCAGGCTTTGGGAGGTGTGGAATCATGGCGCAGCGACTTACCCAGGCACGTTTTAGCCGCGAGGCAAACAAGGCTTTCTCCCTGGGGGTCCAGTGGCTGCTGGGCAGGCGGCATTGGCGGGCGACTGGCGAGGGAGCACTTCCTCTGAGCTGTCTGCTCAGCTCCCTCGTGCGCTGCAGAGTGAGGCTCTCTGAGGCGCGCGAGGGAGCTGAGCAGAGTGCTGAGGGGAAGTGCTTCATCGCCAGCCGCCCGCCAACGCCGCCCGCCCAGCGGCCACTAGACCCCCAGGGAGAAAGAGAACCCCCCACCCCCAGCACTCCCAAAGGTAAGGAGGCTGGGGGTTAAAAAAAATAAATGTGTTAATGTGAGTGAGTGTGTGTATGTCAGTGTGTGTGTGTGTGTGTGTCAGTGAGAGTGTGTGATTCTGACTGTTAGTGTGAGTGTGTTTGCCTGTGTGTGTGTGTGTGTGTGTCTGCTAGTGTGTGTGTCTGTTAGTGAGTGTGTGTTTCAGTGAGTGTGTGTGTGTGGCTGTCTGCTAGTGAGTGAGTGTGTGAATCTCTGACGGCAGGATCCTGCTTATTCACAGACAAGCCAGTCTGTATCTCTTTTTAAGTACCCAGTGGCACTATAATGTCAATCTTATACCATGTTTACACTCCTGCACAATTATGGTTTGCATTTTGAATTTCTAGACATTCTTTTTTTTTTATCATATACTCCCCTAGACATGTTTAATTAGCTTGTTCTTTGACACAGAACCTTCAAAACAAAAAATATACAGTAATCCAGACATGTATTATAACCTTCATGTTCCCCCTTTCTAATGCTACCATGTACAATGTCCTTGATTTTCTGTACCAATTACCATGCACTACAAAAATAAAGAATTTAAAAAATACAAAATGAGACAATTACAAAATGTTACAGGAACAATAGGTTGATGCGGACCCTGCTTAAATGATCTTACAATCTAGGGGACGAGTATAAAACACAAAAGAAAGGGTGCATAGTAACCAAGAGTCAGGTTTGTGAATTAGAAGTTACACCGTGACATTAGTCACCTGACCATTCCCTCTCACTACAAACATTGTATGCACATATCACCTAAGGAGTGATACTATGCCACAAATATTCATTTCTATTAAGGTTTTGTTTAGTGGGTGGAACTGTCTGGGAAATGATGTCACGGTGTTGTCACACAGACACTTTCTCACGTCAACCTCACTGTCCATGATCTTTGTGTATATACTCATGGAGACTGAAACGCTGACCTTGACATTTACACATGTAAGCTGACTAAAAGCAGCAATGTTACTTTATTACCAATCCCCTAAGTATGACTTTCACTCAAAAGGTTTAAATTATACAGTAACATTGACAAGCAGTGCCGGACAAAGGAAGAAAAATGCAGATGTACAGGATGTAGGGGAAATAACAATAGGGTGAAAGCATGAAACCTAAATTAGAAAATGCTCTCTTTTAGAAAAACAATCCCTGGCAAAGACTCATATTCCTCAATCCATGCTTCCTAGCTCAGCATTTAGTTTTGTTACATTTCACCGACTTCTACAATCCTAAATCCAGGGCTAAATAAGGGTCTCATGAGCTGAATGTTTTTTATGGGCCTAGTTACATGAGTATGATAAAGGAATATTCCAAGCACCATAACCACTACAGTGCACTATAGTTGTTATGGGGCCAGCAGTGATCTGGCTCCCTCCATTATAAGTAGTCTGATGGTAGTTCGAACGATTTGACTACTTACGTGAGATCTGCCAGTTGCAGCTCCTTGACTCCACTATATCAGCCAGAGAGCCAGAAGCTCTTGCCTAGTAGATTTGTTATCTCTCTTCAGCTAAGCCATGCCAGTGCAGAGTTAACTCATTAGCTGAGAGTGTCTGTCTCAGGTAGTGGAGGCAGTGCAGGCCCAAGGTAAGCAGTTAAGCCATTCTAAAATGGTTTGACTAATTACAATGGAGTGTGCCAGGACATTCCTAGCACCATATCCACCACAATATGCTCTATAGGTTATGGTTCTTGGAACATTCCTGTACCTGTCAGTTTCAGACATATCTAAAACTATACCCAAGTTCCCATGTAAATGTTCATTTGCGGACGTAGGTAAACCCATACTTTCATTCAGATATCCACGCAAGATAGATCAATGCTATATAAAAGTCTTTATCGCAGTATACCCTGCACATTACTGGGAGCTCTGTAATATCCCAGTACTCACTGCACATTACTAGGGCCTCTGTATTATCCCAGTACTGGGCTGTAGAATACAAAACTGCTTCTTTTGCCATTCTCTACTATAAGATTTGCCATTGTCTAACTACAGGGAGTGCAGAATTATTAGGCAAATGAGTATTTTGACCACATCATCCTCTTTATGCATGTTGTCTTACTCCAAGCTGTATAGGCTCGAAAGCCTACTACCAATTAAGCATATTAGGTGATGTGCATCTCTGTAATGAGAAGGGGTGTGGTCTAATGACATCAACACCCTATATCAGGTGTGCATAATTATTAGGCAACTTCCTTTCCTTTGGCAAAATGGGTCAAAAGAAGGACTTGACAGGCTCAGAAAAGTCAAAAATAGTGAGATATCTTGCAGAGGGATGCAGCACTCTTAAAATTGCAAAGCTTCTGAAGCGTGATCATCGAACAATCAAGCGTTTCATTCAAAATAGTCAACAGGGTCGCAAGAAGCGTGTGGAAAAACCAAAGCGCAAAATAACTGCCCATGAACTGAGAAAAGTCAAGCGTGCAGCTGCCACGATGCCACTTGCCACCAGTTTGGCCATATTTCAGAGCTGCAACATCACTGGAGTGCCCAAAAGCACAAGGTGTGCAATACTCAGAGACATGGCCAAGGTAAGAAAGGCTGAAAGACGACCACCACTGAACAAGACACACAAGCTGAAACGTCAAGACTGGGCCAAGAAATATCTCAAGACTGATTTTTCTAAGGTTTTATGGACTGATGAAATGAGTGAGTCTTGATGGGCCAGATGGATGGGCCCGTGGCTGGATTGGTAAAGGGCAGAGAGCTCCAGTCCGACTCAGGCGCCAGCAAGGTGGAGGTGGAGTACTGGTTTGGGCTGGTATCATCAAAGATGAGCTTGTGGGGCCTTTTCGGGTTGAGGATGGAGTCAAGCTCAACTCCCAGTCCTACTGCCAGTTCCTGGAAGACACCTTCTTCAAGCAGTGGTACAGGAAGAAGTCTGCATCCTTCAAGAAAAACATGATTTTCATGCAGGACAATGCTCCATCACACGCGTCCAAGTACTCCACAGCGTGGCTGGCAAGAAAGGGTATAAAAGAAGAAAATCTAATGACATGGCCTCCTTGTTCACCTGATCTGAACCCCATTGAGAACCTGTGGTCCATCATCAAATGTGGGATTTACAAGGAGGGAAAACAGTACACCTCTCTGAACAGTGTCTGGGAGGCTGTGGTTGCTGCTGCACGCAATGTTGATGGTGAACAGATCAAAACACTGACAGAATCCATGGATGGCAGGCTTTTGAGTGTCCTTGCAAAGAAAGGTGGCTATATTGGTCACTGATTTGTTTTTGTTTTGTTTTTGAATGTCAGAAATGTGTATTTGTGAATGTTGAGATGTTATATTGGTTTCACTGGTAATAATAAATAATTGAAATGGGTATATATTTGTTTTTTGTTAAGTTGCCTAATAATTATGCACAGTAATAGTCACCTGCACACACAGATATCCCCCTAACATAGCTATAACTAAAAACAAACTAAAACTACTTCCAAAAATATTCAGCTTTGATATTAATGAGTTTTTTGGGTTCATTGAGAACATGGTTGTTGTTCAATAATAAAATTAATCCTCAAAAATACAACTTGCCTAATAATTCTGCACTCCCTGTATAAGATAAGGCCAGGGACTAATGAAAGTATTTAGAAAACTGGGCAGACTAGATGGGCTGAATGGTTATCTGCTGTCACATTCTATGTTTCTACTACTTAAAATAAAAAAAAATATACGAGGAGGAATTTCAAAAGTATATGAAAATGCTGCACATACCATGAACTTGTAGGACCTTTCAGGACTAAGTATGCTTGTCATGGTACACACATATTGGTCTTAAAGTGACACTGTAGACATTGTCACCGCTTCATTTCATTGAAGTAGTTATATTGTCTAGAGTCCCCTGGTATTGTCCTTCTGTTCAGTGTTAATCCATTTGTAATGTTTTAATGATGAACAAGAGTCCCCAGCAGGTGGTATTTTTCTTTGATGGGACAATGGTTAGAGAAATTGAGCAGGAATATTCACCTCTATTATACATGGCATGTGCATGGTATAGTAGACACACACTGACACACTCACAGTATAAAATACACTGACACACTCAAACACAGCAAGTACATTCTGTTATACACACTTAGACAAAGTATACATACAATCACACGTGCACTCAGACAACAATATTCACACACTGTCATACATACATTTAGAGAACAACACAATGCTATACTCACACTCATTCAGACAGTATAGACATACAATGCTACACATATAAAATGCAACATGCACAGTTAGACAAAGTACACACGTTGTTAGAAAATTTTTCCCTTTCCACGTTTTTCTCTTGTGTAACTCCGAGACGTTACATAAAATTAATTGACGATGTGTCCTGTAACATTGTGCATATATAATTAATTATTCAGATTAGCATAGCTGGTATTTTTTTTTTTTTTTCTCAAAAAGGTGGCAACCCTATGCTTAGAATTATGAGGAAGCATTAGCCTGAACATTAATGGGCAGCTGTTATTGGCTGGGAGTGTCAGCTGATTGGTTTCAGCCCATCACAGCATCTGTTGCTGGTATGAATTGGTATGGCAAGGCTGTGGGAAGTCATGAAACCTTATTTAGTGTCAAACTGAAAAATGCCTTTAAAACTGAATAGAAGGAAAGTACCAGGAGACTTCATGCACTCTAACCAAATCAATGAGATTAAATGGTTATAGTGCCTATAGTGTCCCTTTTATGCAAAAGAGCATTAAATGTCATCTCTACATTGTGCTGGCAAATAGCAAAATGCTAGAAAATCTATAGATTTTCATTTAAGGCTCTTTAATGTTTGAGGCCCTCCCAACCTGTCAATTATCTCCGGCATTGTGTATTAGTGGGACGCAGAGTCTAATGCAGAGGACTAAATAATAGGAGTAGCAGGAGAACCCGCCCCCAGGCAGTTTTCTTATTACCTATCACAGTGTTACTCAGTGAGAAGCTCCTGCTGGGGTAATATGGAAAGTACTGATGGATATGTACTAACAATTAAGTCAGCATATCAGTATGGGGGGGATGTTCCTGTTTGACAAAATATCCCAGGCAGAACTAATAACAGCAGGCTGAGGGAAGCAACGGGTATCACAGCACTCGAACACAGTGGTTCCCAAACCAGTCCTCATGGCTCACCAACAGACCAGGTTTTGTCATTGGAATAAAAAAAGGGAAATACATAAATCCTGGATTATTGGTGGGCCATGCGCACTGCTTTGGGAACTACTGCCAATACACACAGGACGTATTCGAATGGCAGCAACTAAGTGACTTTCTACAGGTAAGTAATGTTATACTGCTCCCAACTAAACATATACTTTTATATTTATGATAAATTATATATTTAGTGCTTTGGGAACAGTTATAGCATTAGGTAAGTCTGGAGTGTCGGGTTCGCTTTAGGCCACTGTAGCGTGTTTAATAACCTTAGGGTTGTATCGTATAGGTTCAGTGCTTTTACCAAGAACAACCGGAGGGATGGGAATGGCTGAGAAATGACAGCCATTTCTTGATTCTTTCACATGCTGCCAATTTTCAACAAATTTTATATTTAAAAAAATAAATGAATCTATCGGGTTTTTTTTTTTTTTATACATTACAGCCGCGGCTTCGTAACAACTAAGGTTAGGTCATTTGAACAAGTATCAGTAAAGTTCAGGCCATGTGTGCCGGAGGGGGGGGGGTGGTGGGGGAATTGACACAAGCACAAAACTCTAGATTTCTTTGTATGCACAGCGTTTCAAGCTGAAATACTGCATATTCAGGCTTCTACAACCATGACAACTTCTAATAGCAGAAGTGGTCATGGTGGTTGGATTAATCCTGTAAGAAAGGCAGATGAATATTAATAGAAAAAAAATCCTAAATACAGAGCACATCAGCAAGTATTACAACATATCTTGTTTTATTTTACTACTCCAAAATTACTCAGAAATGAGGGGAAAAAAGGTAGGCGGTGGAAGAAGGCCAAGTGGGTGAAAGCAACAAAAGATCCACTAAGGGGTCCACAGTAAGGGGACTATACAGCTGAATACTCAAAAAACTACTGTGAGTAGAAAAGAGCTTGCAGGTAGAAAGCAAAAACCATTTACAGAAAGTCCTACATGTAGAGAGAAGTAACAATGTACATGATATCAGCGGCCTGCAGTGTCAGAACAGCACACATGTTGTGAGATATAATATCAGCAGTCAGCAGGCCTTACTGTAACTTGCTTACTTGTAACATGTAACATGTTCTCTTGCTGTCATGCAGAAGAGTATAAGATCAAAACCCAGGCTGGTGGCGTTAGAAAAATTATTGGTGCAAAATTCTGACATTAAAGAGATTTCTATTTTCTGCTAGACAATAGGAGCACTTTATGATCTGTCATTCAGTGCCATTCCTCACAACATGACCAAAGAAGGACAAATTAATCGCACAGGGTGTGGTGGTGGTGGTGGAGGGAGGGTATGGAGATATTACAGAAAATGTGAGGTGACTTTATGACGAATATTTTAAATATCTGACATAAAACACATGACTAACATCAATCATTGGAGGTATGCAGCACTGCTAGCCTTTAATAACGAGTTTTTCCCTTTAAAATAACATTTCAGGCTGGAATAAACCCCAATTTTTTGACATAATGCTTTAAAAAATATATATAATACAATTAATATACAATAAATTAATCAATTAAATTAACATAAATGAAAGCAACATTCAGGGGTTGCTGACTTACAATATATATTTACATTCTGTGTCCTTGTGTTCTCGTATTATCCAAGTGACAAACAAACTTTTAAGGACATTATTCTTTACTGGTTTCTCCAGTTATCCTTATGGAATACCTGAAATTGTTATCAGGATGTGTACTCTTACAGCGTGTTTGTTGACACTAGCAGATCCCACTACATAAAGCAATAACAACCAATAGTGAAATATATATTAATCAGTATTGTGTTCAGAATGTTTTTGTTTCACAACTGGTTTGTTGTCTGTTTAAACATAACCGCCAAAGACGTCTAAAAAAAATATCATCAAAAACCACCATCTACCCCAAATCCTTCTGCCACAAATGACACAGGACCACAGAATAAGGAGGAAAGGGCTTGGTCCCAGCTTTATTAATTAAATCAACTGTAAACATAAACCATTTTAAAGTTGAACAACTGTCGGCTAGAGGGCATTGGCCTCCAGGCAGGTTTTTTTTCTCAATCTGGCTTCTCTGCTGTCCAGAACCGGAAGAGAGGAGAAGTAAATTGCAACATTTATAAAAAAAATTAAATTTTTTTTACATTATCCAATCCCCTGTCGCCTTGCTGGACTGTTATATAGGCATGCAAGGCAGTCATGGTCCAACTCACCGAAATGGTGCATTGTTCTTCCTTTTTCCTCTAGTTACCCAGCATTCATATTAAACATCTAAAATAGCATTCTACACTCCACCAGTCAATCATCATACACTTTAATTCTACAAGGTAAAAATACAAAATATGACTGTGCACTACTGGTCAAGCGTTCCATCTGGCCCTATGCGAAACCTCAAATATTTGCTCCAAATCTCAAGGTCTCTAGCATCTGCAGTGAACTCTCACCAAACCAGTAAGTGACTCTGCCAATACTGGGCATATTAATCAAAGACTGTACCCAGCAGGGGTTTCCCGGACATGTCAGTCCAGGTTTTTCTTATTTAAACAGTATTCATAAAACTGCTGCCCAGAAACTGCTTTCTTTGCAGTTTTGGATATGGAACTATTAGACTCTATGATAAAAACACACAGGCTCAGTTTCATACAATTATAAGCATTTGCTGCAGATGCTGGCATATGTGCATGGAGGCCTAATCCACCATATTTTAACCTTTCACTTACTCTGTCCATGTTTGGACATAAATTGAGTAAACAGCCTAGCTACGTCATTGGGAATTTCCATTACTTATCTATTGTGTAAAATGAAGAAAGTAGAACCATCACATTTTTGTCAAAGTTCACAGTTTTAGTAACACTTACACAGTTGTAAAAAAAACGTTCATTCTACAGTATTGCACTTATTCCCTGAGAGGCTGACACTCCCTTTCTGGTACACAAATACACAGCATTGGACAGATAATGAAAAAGACTGGCAGGAAATAATGAAAATTGTTAATCTGTCTATTTCTGGTGAATGATAATTAGTGTTTTTATAGTTGCTCACACCGTTATCTAAGCTTGGATCTAAAACTGTGACCAATTTTAATTACCAGTTGGTAAGAATTAGCAGCCATTATTATCGACAAGTTTCCAACCTGTGCCCCTTGCCTAATGTCGTCATGTTACCAGGGCCGGCCTTAGGGGTGTGCGAGCTGTGCGACCGCACAGGGCGCCATGGAACAGGGGGCGCCCTGTGGCCGACACAGCTCACTCATGGCCGGAGTGCAGGGGAGCTAAAAGAGGTACCTGGCTGGAGGATTAATTATTCTCCACCCGGGTCTATTTAAAAAAAAAAAAAAAAATCGCGGCAGAGGGGGCGGGGTTTACCGAGCGGCGGAGGCGGGGCTTATCGAGAGGCGGAGACGGGGCTAATACCTCCCGAAGCCCCTGCTGTACAGGAAGAGGGAAAGATGCTTCCCCATCAGCCAACTGCATCCACTGGAAAGAGGTAAGTGTGTGTGTGTGACTGTTTGCCTGTTTGTGTGACTGTCTGTCTGTGTGTGTGTGTGTGTGTGTGACTGTCTGTCTGTGTGACTGCCTGCCTGTGTGTGTGTGACTGTCTGTGTGACTGCCTGTCCTGTGTGTGTGTGTGTGTGTGTGACTGTCTGTCTCTGTGTGTGTGTGTGACTGTCTCTGTGTGTGACTGTCTCTGTGTGTGACTGTCTCTGTGTGTGACTGCCTGCCTGTGTGACTGTCTGTGTGTGTGACTGTCTGTGTGTGTGACTGCCTGTGTGTGTGACTGCCTGTATGTGACTGCCTGCCTGTGTGTGTCTGTCTGTAACTATCTGTCTGTGTGTGACTGCCTGCCTGTGTGTGTGACTTTCTATCTGTGTGACTGCCTGCCTGTGTGTGTATAACTGTCTATGTGTGTGTTACTGTGTGTCTGTCTGTGTGTGTGACTGCCTATGTGACTGTCTGTCTGTGTGTGTCGCTGTGCCATTGTTTGTGCCTGTGCCTGTATGTGTGACTGCCTTTAACTGAGTGTGTGTGTACATGCCTGTAACGAGTTTAAATTTCCCCCACCCCTTCCTGTCAAGGCCGCACTTTGACTGACAGACGCTCACTCACTGACAGACGCACACTCACTGACAGACACACACTCTCATATACACTGACAAACAATGACATACACACATACACTATTACTTGGACACACACTGACAGATGCACACTCTCACTGACAGACGCAAGCACTCACTGAAAGATGCACGACTCCACTGACCGACACATACACACTGACTGACACACACTCACTGACCGACACACACTCACTGACCGACACATACACACTCACTGACTTACACACTCACTGACTTACACACTCACTGACCGACACACACTCACTGACGACACATACACACTCACTGACGACACATACACACTCACTGACTGACACATACACACTCACTGACTGACACATATACACTCACTGACCAACACACACATTCACTCACAGACACACACACATTCACTTACAGACACACACAATTACACACTTACAGACACACACACACACACACACATTCACTTCAAAATAAACACTCACAGACACACACACAGACATTTCCACTAACACTCACAAACTAATATTTTTTACATTTATTTTAAATCCACCCAGCCTCCCTGGGAAAGCTGGAGTGGATTTCTTACCAGCAGTCCAGTGTGGCTGCTGGGCAGGCAGGCAGGGGGCGCACAGGCTGAGTAAGCAGCGCTTAGTGATGCCGGGAGCCGGACTGACGTCATATTCTGGCTCCCGGCTTCATTAAGCGGCGCAGAGGAAGCTGAGCAGGAAGAGCTCAGGTGAGTATGCTCCTTCGCTGCCCGCTGCCAGCCTTGGGGGGGCTCAAAAGTGGCCAGCCGGTCAGCTCTTGAGCCCCCCAGGATGCGAGGCAAGCAAGGGATCTGCCTGGGGGTTTGGAGGGATGCTTTTTTTTGCCGCCCCCTGCAAAGTGGCGCCCAAGGCAGATGCCTTGTTTGCCTCGTGATACACACGTCCCCGGTGCCTGTGTGTGTTACTGTATTCAGGCAACTTGGTGGGAGGTGGGGGGGGCGCCGTGAAGACTTTTTGCACAGGGCGCCTAATTGCCTAAGGCCGGCCCTGCATGTTACTAACATCTACTGCAAATGAAAACGATAGCCACATATAGGGTTATGCACAAAAATTCTGATGACCCCCTTATCGGACTGGGGCAAAACCATCCTGCTGCATACCGGGACAATCACACCAAAACAATGTCCGGATTTTCAATCCAGGCTCCAAATAAGCTTCGATTAGGTCTGCATTTCAGCTGGACTGAACACCATAAGAGGCTGAAAGGTTGGTGCATATCTACTAAATATTTAAAACTAGCAATTAGGTAGCCATTGCTGCCCAATTGGTAGAAAGGTTGTATTGGGTTGGGAACTTTAGATTAAATAATGAGGGTGGATAGATCACTGTCTATCCCCTGTCTCCACCCATGGCCAGCAGGTGGGGACAACTTACTAAATAGTTGGGACCTAATGTCCCCACACCCTACCCATGGTGGGGGCTATTATAAGAATGAGAGAGACCTACTAAACTTAGTTTATGGGGGCACCTAATGTCCTTACCCTCGCCTACACCCATTAGCTGCAGGGGATGCTCTAAATAATTATACAAGTTGTGTTGAAAATGCAGCAGTTGGGACATATCTTCTGCACATTTAAAACTAGTGACTGGGCAGCCATTGATGTCTAGATGCTAGAAAGGGAATGGGGCCTGTAAAATAATGGAAGGGACATAGTCAGCCCCCCTCCCCCTCTCTTTGTCACCAACAAACAAAACTGTCCAGTTCCTGATTTGAAATATTTTTTGCAGACCCAAACTGCCTCATGCGGCATATTTTTTCAGTGTTTAAATGTTATTTAAATTCCTTCCATGTTCTTGTTGTATTTAATTTTTTTTTTTTTTTTTTTTTAATATGAGGGCCATGGGCCTCTGCGTTGTACTTGCTCCTTGGGTCAAAAGTTGCCAAACAGCTCCTGATTAAAGTTTACTCATATTGCAAAAACAGGCAACTTTTACTTATCCAGAAACACAATCCTACAGAGCTTAATTGTCTGAACATGTGAATTTTAAATTATCAACAGCTTTTCTGCATAAACAAATGACCATTATTAATTATATAGCAGTTTGACAGTTTGCACACACATTGTATTTGTTATCATTGTTTATGGTCTGAAAATGAATGCTATGCACATTACACTGTCAGTAGGCCTATATAAGCCCAGGCTTGGTTTATGTCAAGTTTGGGTATATAGGTCTAAAATATGAAATCCTCCTACTAACGCTGCTCATATAAGGTTTTATTTTCATTGTACATTGAACATATATGATTATTTGTGTGACTGTGTATGCAACACATTCTATGAAAATTCATCTAACTCCCCCATCTTCCTTTATGTACCCCATTTATTTGTTTAAAAATGCAAAATAGAAACCGTTACAAAAAAAAATAATGGCATTTTCTAGTCAGTTGGAGACAATTTGCAGAATAACCCTGATCATGTCATCAAATTACAATAATTACTTGTATAGCTCCACATATTACACAGTGCTGTGCAATAGGTAAACAAAACAAATATTTAATGCTAACAAGACATCATGTATATCATACAAGAACCGTAGGTGAAGAGGGCCCAGCCAAAACAAGCTTACAAGCTAAAGAAGTTGCAATATTTCCAAAAGAGAAAATATTACTTTCAGGAGTAAAAATGATGCCATGAGGAGGGTTAATGCCATGTAAATGACAAATTCAAAGTATTAATCAAAACATTTCATTAAAAACAGAGAGAGAGCGCAGGTAACTTTTTCTTTTCTTTGGTTTTTACTATATATTGGGGCTGATGTGTACTGTAGTCATTGCTGCCGGCCCAGTAGTGATGGGAGTGAGCGCAGGGCTTATCTTTTTGTATTTGTATTTACTTTGTATCACACAGCCTTGTTACAATGCTGCCGCCCATCCCATGTGTTCCCTATTAAGGGTTAATAAGTATATAGGGGTGTATATAAAAAATAATCCTCTCTGTCTCATTAGAGATATCTTTGCCAGAAGCTCAAGGAAGCAAGGTGAAGGGTCAGTGTTAGGACCTGCTTAGGGGGGTCTGCCTTGACGTTGGCAGGCGGGCATTCCCTCCAATGGCCATTGGAGCAACTAAATGACCTCAATTTGTCTAAATATACATAGGGATTAAGGAGAGAGCGCAGGTAACTTTTTCTTTTCTTTGATTTTTACTATATATTGGGGCTGATGTGTACTTTAGTCATTGCTGTCAGCCCAGTAGTGATGGGAGTGGGCGCAGGACTTCTCTTTTTGTATTTCATTATATAGTTACAGTGGTGTTTTCTTTCCACAGATTGCTCCGGTCACTGATAGCTTGCCACAAAGATTGTTGAGAAACTTGGAACAACAAGACAATGATTATTTCTACACCCATGGGCAAATCAAATGTCGAGTATGTCCTGCAGGTAAATTATGGCAACATGGTTATTAAGGTCAGAAGGCTGTGGCCAGTGTATAGATGGGAAAGGTGAAGCAGGAGACAAGAATAGTTAACCTGTAGATATGGGCAATGCATGAGTACATCTATTCCTATAAATGTGCATTTTCGTGATTTGTACCAATCACAACAACGTAACGGAGCCGCGGCCAATAACCTAAAAAATGGCTGCAGCGCTATTAAAGAGACAGTACCTGAAATAAAAAATTCCTGTATAATGGGGACCTAATGTCTACACGTTTCGTCTCTTGATGGTGCACAGATCTCAGTGCACAGATTGGTGTGCCCCCTGCGCCCCGCATCTTGCTGCACTAGCAGGATAAGGCTGCTTTGATCAATGAGCCCTTTGCAGCATAGGAGGTAGTGGCATCCTCCCTGGCAGTCCGGTACTGGGGACTGTGGGTTGAGCTCTCTGTTCACTTGATCCTCCTGGAAAAACTCGATATCGCAGGATCAGTAGTCCTAAAATAAAAAATGTATCCGGATTCGTGCCCACAGAGGGTTCCATGAGTAAGATCTCCTGTGTCTAGACTTTGGGATTTAGTGAACAGTTATTGGTCCACATCTTTCGATAGCATTCATAGATGGTATATGTTTTTATTGTCCCTGCTATTTATTATTTAGTATATCTGCCCTTCTCTGCATTGATTGATATTATGCAGAGGTTTATGTTACAGTTTATAGTGGGCTTATTGTGCTGGGACTGATACATTCTTATTTTACATCTGTGATTTGCTACTTTATTATAGTTTACACCCTCCCATAACTGGAGATTACCTATATCTATATTAGCAATGCATTTGAGACTTAATTTTTATTGTTCCTGCTTAGATTGTTTATATAATAAAACTTTTATAATATTTTTTCGAGTGCAGACACGCTTTAAATTTATTACACAGAATAATGACATGCCGTACAGGGTTTGATTCATTCAAATGAAATTCCGATCTGAACAAAGTCCTGAATTGCATCCTAACTCAAATTGAGAAACTATTCTCATTTTGATAGGACGCAATTCGGTAGTTTCGCCAGCGTTCTGTCTAAATGACAGGATGTTAGGGAAAAGTGAAAGGAGGCTTCGCGGGAACACGGAGGAAAGGTGAGAATTGTGGGAAAATTGCTCTGACCAGCGGAAATGAAGCACTTTGCTCCTCCGTTAGTCAGAGATGGTCAGGTGTAGGAAACCTCCATAAGACAAGTAGTCCCTACTTTGTCTTATGTTTTAAAGAAAACTAGAGCAGACAGGAAGAAATGAAGAGCAGATAGGGAGAGAAGAGCAATCGATTAAAGAAAGGTAAGTTCGGCAGACAGTGCCGCTTTAAGTAGAGATGATAGGTACACAGAGTTTCCAGATTAATGGTACAAATAGCAGAGAGACAACAAATGGCAATTGCCAAGATATCATTGTTCTAGTGCAGGAAGGAAGTTCAAATATCTATGCTGCTGCTTTAATTGTGTATAAGAACAATGAATTTGAGGGGACATGGAAAAATAAAAAATCAGTCATATGTCATTTGTGGAATTCCAATGTGCTGACACAATTTCTATCTACTATCTACTGTCTAATCCCCCCGTCACATGCACCTGTCTATTCTTATTTGCATACTTCAGTACAGTCACTAGCTTATCAGTCCCCATACACCTTCATGTTCTTATTCTTGTATGTCTGTACTGTTATTAGTGTGTCTACTCACATACATATTCAAATTGGATGAAGAACATGCTATCACAACCTACAAGGGCTTATTAGAAGACCAGCTGACATGTAAAATAGGAAGTTTAAGCTGTAATCAGCGGTCACTATGGCTGAGCCTCCACTGATGCACCCTATATATGAATGTCATAAATGGCTGCAATATTTTATATGGTCGTACACTACTCCTGCTGTCTAGTCAATGCTTGTGGACTTGTGGGTTCCATGGAATGGCATTCCACGTGTGCCAAGCAGCAGTGTTCTGTGTGTATTATACCCAAACATCTTCCTGTTTTTACTTCCATTCCAAGTCAGTATGTGCCTGTTCCCAAATCATACAACTGCCTATTGTTATTCCCATACTTCAATAGAGTCAGCAGTGTGCCCATCTCCATGAACCTGCCCGTTCTATTCCCAATACCTCTGTACAGCCAAGTTAACAACAAATCTGTCTTTTTTTTTTTTTATTCTCCTGCTTCTGATAGAGGTACAAAACCCAAAACTGCCACCCTTGTAAATTTTACTTTGCAGGTTTCCACGTGGAAGAGCACTGTACTATCCCAAACAGTAACAGTACCTGTGAGCCATGTGAAGAAGGCTCTTATAGTGAGGGGCCAACTGGCTTGATGAATTGCCACACCTGCACACATTGCCGGACAGGTAAATACTTTCTCAGGATTATTCATATAGTAAGAATGTATAGATTTTCAGCTAAGAATGTCAGATTTAAGGCAAAAATAGCCAAACTGGAAAATTTTGCTTAAATTGGAAATTCACTTTGAACTATTCTCCTTTTAGTGAATAACTCTGTCTGTGTAATTTAATGTTCGTATAGAGTGCCAGCTTGTTCCATAGAGCTGTACAATGGGAAGATTGTATTATTAGATGTGTAGAATGTCCCCTCTGAATTATTGTATAAAAGTGCTGATTTCAAGAGGGGAAAACAAAAGCTACTCGCATTTAATTCAGCGGTGAGACCATCTTCTCGCCCAACACATAAAACCTGTAATGTTTTAGGGATTTGGAGGGCTACTTTTAAAAGAACATTTCACACCCCTAAAGCACCTTAGCTTGCTGAAATGCTTTATGTGTGAAGCTTGTCTTCTTTTTAGTATTTTAGAAATAGTGCAGATTTTAATAGAAATTTACACCTTTATAAATTTACCTGGTTACACCCTCCTGGTTTTCAAGCAGACAACAGGTCCTTTTACTTTGTGGTTTGGTTAGCTCAGTGGAGAAAGACTCAAAAGGTAGCAATTTCCCAGAACACCTTCCTTGCAAAGGCTTCTCGTTGAGCTTCATTGGGAAGTCTGTGATTGGACAGCCACAGAAGAGGAGAGCTTGCAAAAGCCACAGACAAAGGAACTGCAGGGTTTGCAAAAACTCTTTTTAGATATAGCAACAATGGAAAAAATGCATGATTAAATGCATGCATGTTTTCATTGGGGGTATATTTACTAAACAGTGATGTTTTAATATTAAAGTACCCTGAGATAAGAGAGTAAAATAATAAAAATGTACTTTTTTGGTCCTAGCAGACGGTTAGTGACACACATAATACCATGATACTGCACATCCATCACCCCACACAAGGTGACAGAGAACACTCAAGCGCACCTTTGTTGAAAAGGGTGACAGGAAAAAGTGATTCATTTATAATCTTTGCACAAAGTAAGGGTACAAGTGATGAGGTTGGAATATTGAATGAAAACGAAGTGAGGAAGCTGTTACCGTAGTATAAAACATGAACGTGGAATAGGGTTAAGAGAATAAAAGAATGGTAAAGCTGGCAGTGCTATTGAGATGAAATGCAGAAGTGAGTGATGGAGACCAGTGAGAGCTTGTGTTGAAAGGCTAGAAAGCGACGAGTGGACACTGTACATTTATATAATCACTCAATATTCCCTCATACTTTCAGATCAAGAGGAGGTGTCTGCATGCACTAATAAGAAGAACACGGTTTGTCGGTGTACAAGTGGAAAATACTGTCTACCAGATAACCCATGTGAAATCTGCCACAAATGTTCTACCAGGTAAGGATGTCAGTTTAGAAGAGTAACTGGTGGACAGACATTCAGGGAAATGCATCTCTGTAAGTAGTAAAACACGATACTATAAACAAGACCTGCACTACTAGACTGACCTCAAATTTACTTGCTGCTGCAACACTGGAGGATTCATGGCATACACTAGGGGTGAATTTGTAATTGGCAGGGCTACGTTTGCACTTAACACAAACCAAAAAAGTGTAAAGCGCTTACGAGTACAAATCTACACATTTACAGCAGCACTCGCCAAAAGCGACAAACAAATTACACACAAAGTTAGTATATCAATAAACAGCGTGCTTAAATTGTGTAAAACATAGAAACTTCAAATGTTGTTCTGTAAATAATCAAATAAACACATATCGTGCAGACCATCTGGGTAAGCTTATCTATGCACACAATATAAAGTGCAAGGAGTGTCTGGGATTAAACTCACATTTACCAGAGCCTGATCACTAGACATGTGCAATTCGTTTCATTCCAAATGTCAATTCGGATGAATTTCGGGCAATTCGGACATTCGGATACTTCGGTTACTAAGCACAGTATTGCCGAAGTACTAATATACCTACCCAGTGGAAGAATGTTACACTGTATACAAGTTTAAATAAAACGTATACAAACATAGTGAGGATTCTGCTGTAAGCATTTGCAACACTTACAACAATCAAATAACATACATTCAAATAAAATGTAAGTTACTTAGCCAGTCAATGGAATGACAGGAATGAATAAGTAGATAACTCCCTAATTCCCACGGTATTAGAGAGCTATCTACTAAAAGGCTGAAAGACCTAAATTGGTCTTTTAGCCAAATTTACTAATACTAAGTAAAAATAACTTAGTATTAGTAAATTATGCCCCTACTCACTATACCGCGAGTAAGGGCATGTCTAGTAAACAGTGAGCAGCTCACTGTAAAAAACAAAAAACCGACGGAGGGTGGGGGCCCTAAAGAAGAATAAAGGGGGGGACCTATTGTCATCCTCTCCTGGCACCCACCCCTGTGCGGCTGTGGGGGCCCTAAAGAAAAATAAGGGGGGGGGACCTATTGTCCTTCCCTCCCGGCCCCCATCCCTGAGCGGCGGGTGGGGGCCCTAAATAAAAATGTAACCCCCTGGTGACTAGGGGTCCCCAAACCCCTAGTCACCCCTTCCAAAAAAATTAACCCCTACTTACCCCCCTCATCCTACAAGTAGTGAGGGGGGACACCAATAACTAGATACCTGTAAAAATAATAATAAATAAATAAACTTGCCATTTGATGTTTTCTTTCTTCTAAAATCTTCTTTTTTCAGCCCAAAAAAAGGCCAAATAAAAATCCATAATAACCGCCTCACTTTGAAAAGAAAAAAAAATCCAGAGCGCAAAAAAATAATCCATCTTCACCCAGCAAGGGCTCCGCGCAGACTGAGCTCTGCAGGGCGGGGGAAGGCTTATAAAGCCTTGCCCAGCCCTGCAATTGGGCTCAGAGCATTCTGGTTGGTTGGTTTAAGCCATCCAATCAGAGTGCTCTGACAGGTAAATGAAGAGACTAACAGGTAAGTCTCTACATTTACCTGTCACAGCACTCTGGTTAGCTTGAAATCCAGCCAATCAGAGTGCTCTGTGTCATTTTACACAGCATGGGAAAGTTCTTTGGAATTTTCCCACGCTGTGTAATTTGACTCATAATGCTCTGATTGATTACTTTGTGCTCTGTTTGTTTGTTTTTTTTTTTTTTTAAAGTGCAACGGTGTTTATGGATTTTTATTTGGTCTTTTTGGGGGATGAAAAACAAAGATTTTAGAAGAAAGAAGACATCAAATGGTAAGTTCTTTTTTTATTTATTATATTTTTTACAGGTATCTAGTTAAAGGACCACTCTAGGCACCCAGACCACTTCAGCAATGAAGTGGTCTGGGTGCCAGGTCCACTAGGGTTAACCCATTTTTTCATAAACATAGCAGTTTCAGAGAAACTGCTATGTTTATGAATGGGTTAAGCCTTCCCCTATTTCTCTAGTGGCTGTCTCATTGACAGCCACTAGAGGCGCTTGCGTGCTTCTCACTGTGATTTTCACAGTGAGAGCACGCAGCGTCCATAGGAAAGCATTATGAATGCTTTCCTATGTGAGCTGGAATCACGTGCAGCTCTTGCGGCGTGCGCATTCAGCTGACGGGGAGGAGAAGAGGAGGATCGGAGGAGGAGAGCTCCCCGCTCAGCGCTGGAAAAAGGTAAGTTTTAACCCCTTTTCCCCTTCCAGAGCCGGGCGGGAGGGGGACCCTGAGGGTGGGGGCACCCTCAGGGCACTATAGTGCCAGGAAAACGAGTGTTTTCCTGGCACTATAGTGGTCCTTTAATAGTCCCCCCCTCATTATTTTTAGGGTGAGGAGGGTAGGTAGGGGTTAATTTTTTTTTAATCTGGTCCAACCTTGCCTACTCCAGCTTACTAAATCTTGTCCATCATTCCCATATTCAACTTACTGGATGTGGCGTGGCATCTTCTCTACCATTCAGTTCAGCATCCTCTTCTTAAGAAAAACAGAATTAAATCCCCTCTTCACCCCAAGTGAATTGTTGTGGATTGTCAGTGGAGGCTTATTCACAGGGGCAAGTGGGGCATCGTGATCCATTTAAAAAAAAAAAATTGTGCAGAATTTTTTTTTCAAATCTATTGGCATTATAAGGACTACTGATAAGTGAATGTATCTGTCATGATTATAACTACAGGTTTCATTCTCCCCTTTATTGATGACTGGAGATGCAGTTGGTTTTGAGCAGGGCATGGCATCTCATTAGGTTAAATGAGTAGAGACCAACAAGTCACGGGGGCACTGCCCCACCATCTTTAAACTTCACCAGCCTCCTCCGGATTTACTAGTAGGAAAGTAAAGAATAGTGTATCTAGATCTCTCTTCTAGATGGTCACTGTCTCTGTTGATAATTCTGTAAAAGGACACAGGGAGCCACACTTATTATACCTGGGAAGGTGGACAGAAGGTCAATTGCCCCCTAGGCATCTTGTATACAAAACAACAGGGTATGTGAGCAGCAGCCTCAGAGAACCCCTTTCTTCTGAATAAAAGTAACTTGAGGTATGTCACCAATGACGTAGTCAAACAGATCTGTAAAGGCCACGTGCCTAATAATGATATCCATGATATACATATGACTATTATTCTATGTTTTGTTGCAATGCATTAACTTGGCTCTCCATAAGTTAAATTAATTATCCAGACATAGACCCCATGCTCACTGTTCCTAGAGGGGTATCAGCTACACCTCGCTGACAGGCCCCACAGAAGGCCGAAATTATAATCGTCTGGGATTGCTGTATCTCTCATGCAGAGAGAACTTGTTGGCATTTCAGATCTGGACTGCTGTTATGGGTGGGATCAGTCTGATGTGGAATCCATAATGGCACAAGTGAGCAAAAACCATTTTGAAACTTCAGCGAGTTTAGCAAAGGGCAAGCTATTGTTTCTCAAAGTTCTTTGTTTTTGTTGCTATACACAGCACTATACTAAACTTGGTATGAGAGTTCAGGACGCTGCTACATATAATTCATTGATGACACTTATTCTGTATTACAATATTTTTTACTATAATTCCTTTCTCTTTCAGTTGCCCAGAGGGAGAAGTTGTGAAGCATCCTTGTAATGCAACAGCTGACATCCAATGCAGTCAACCTTCCATTCGTAACAGACTATGGAGTACGTATTTCATATTTACAACTGTATTACTGTATTACATTAACCCGAGGATTAGCCTGCCAGACATGAAGCTGGCAAGAGGAGCAAGGGGCACCTCCCTACCCCTTCCATCCCGGGCCACTAATAAAGGATTGCTGGCAAAGGAGTTGTGAGCTGCAGCTTAAAACCATTCTTCTTTATATGTAAAATAGCAGGAGGTGTGTTGGCATGTCTGTTTGCACGGATGTGCAGGTATAAGGCAGCCGACAGGAATTGTGCAGGGCCTGGATTGGTCCACAGGATATTTCTTGGTGAGTTGCAATATTTGAAACATGTGGTCTCTAGCGCCCTTGGCGACCCCCCCACCTCCCCACTCGTTTGTCCATCTGCATTTTCCAGGCAGGGTAAGGTATAGCTGCACACTCCCTGCACACTTGCTACTACTCCTCTTCCATCCATGTCTCTCTCCCACCCTTCATTGTCTTGTTCCCCGGTCCATCCATGTCTCTTCTTCCCTCCCTTCCATGTCTCTTCTTCCCTCCCTTCCATGTCTCTGTTCCCCACCCTTCCATGTCTCTGTTCCCCACCCTTCCATGTCTCTGTTCCCCACCCTTCCATGTCTCTGTTCCCCACCCTTCCATGTCTCTGTTCCCCTCCCTTCCATGTCTCTGTTCCCCTCCCTTCCATGTCCCTGTTCCCCTCCCTTCCATGTCTCTCCCCTTTTCCATTCATCTCCCTCATACATTCATTCATATCTTTCCAACCCCATGTCTCCTTGCCCCCTTTCATGCATACCTTCCTAACCCTTGCATCTATATTTCTCAAACCCCATGTCTCCTCCCTCCTTCCATTCATTCATACCTCCCTACCAATCATCCATGTCTCTACTCCCATGTCTCCCTCTTCCCTTCCATCCATCTCTCTTCCCCATGTCTCCCTACACCTTCCATCCATATCTCTTCCCTCATGTCTCCCTTCCCTTTCCACATATCTCCCTAACTTGCCCATCCATATCTCTCCCTCATGTCTTCTCCCTATTCCATCCATACCTTCCATTTATACCTCCCTACCACTGCCATCCATAGCACTTCCCCATGTCTCCATACCCCCTTCCATCCATACCTCCCTACCCATTTTATCCATATCTCTTACCCCATCATCCATACCTACCTACCATTCCTTCTATACCTATGTCCCCATTTCTCCCTACCCCCTTTCACCCACACCTCCTTACCCATTTCATCGATACCTCCCCCCATGTTTCCCTCCCTCCTTCCATACCTTCCTACCCCTACCAGCCATATCTCTCTACTTCCATCCATACCCCTTTGATACGCCAATATCCCTTCCATCCATATCTCTCCCCCTCATATCTCCTTACTCCTTCTATCCATACCTCCCTACCCAAAGGCGCAACTAAAAACCACAGGGCCCCAGTGCTAAAATTGCCTGGGGCCCCCCACCCATGCATCTTCCCTCTCCTCCCCCTCCACTACTCCTATATTTGTATAATATAACACATACAGATACATACACGGACACACATGCTAATACACAGACACACAGAATGATACACATTCAGATACAAACACTGATACTCATATAGATGCAAACAGTGACACACATACAGATACACATGCAGACGAACAGATACACATACAGTGAGGGAAAACAGAATTTGAGCCACTCCTATTTTTGAATGTTGGCCCACTGAGAAAGAAATGATGGTAGGTGTACATTATTCTTTGGTCTGTGGTAATAATTCTTGTATTGTGGTTTTTTTTTTTCAGGATGTATCACTATAGTCTCCGCCATCTTGTTCGTTATCATTGGCGTTTTTGCTGGCTACCGGGTTTTAGGTGAGAAAATAATACTTGGCAGACTTCTGGATTGGGGTTGTTATCTAGATATTAATACAGTGAGTAGTGATAGATGACTGTGTGATTAAAAGTAATAATAATTAGCTGGGATTTCACAGGGATACACTAAATGTATTAAGTATATAAGTGGTCATGTCGGCGCAAGGCTAGCAGACCTCATCCATTACATTTTTTTTTCCATGCTGATGTTTCACTAGTAGAAAAAGATGCAGCATGTTATATGACTGAACTATAAATTCCATGATCCTTTGCTATTCTAAATATATACCTCAGTTCCTTTTTAGAAGCTATGTTACTTAAAAAGCAAGCTGTAATAGTTTGTTGGTTTATTCAATTCATTAAAATATGAAAAGGTGAATTTCCTACACCATCCCTACTGCAATCCTCTACAATTGAACGCTACAGCTTTAAGGTACAAATTTTGAACTCAGAAAATGCCCCATCGGATTTCTTTCACCTTTGCCACTAGATTACTTCTTTATAATAATGTTTTCGTTGTTATCTATAATGTATTACTGGAGTATCTTGTACTTGCAGCCACATGCATTAATTAATAATCTGGCTGTTGGGATTTGATTCGCAAAATTCTAAATTGTAAACCACAACTGTTTCTTGTCCCGTCCCACTCCTCCCCCCATGCTTGCCACTCCTAGCAGTAAATACCTTGATATAACGGTTTATCTCTACTCCCTCTCTAGGCCCATTTTCCACATCATCCCTACTGCAAGCCTCTACAATTCTACTCGGCTCAACCCGCCCACCCAGGTTCCCCCTAAATTTATAGCATGCTCCTCCAGCTGTTTAAAATTATCACTCACTTACCTCTTCATTCCCTCTATATTCTACCAATATCTGCAACTCTCTATTTCCTTATTTAGCCATTACTCCCAAATTTTCCCTGCTACCTCTTGTCTCAAATCCCCACGGTATCCTTTAGATTGTACCTCACGGGCTATCTACCTATGCACTTTGTATAAAAGAGCTTAAATGGCTAGATTTCAGCTTACGGGCAGGGCCCTCTCTACCTTTTGTATTTGCGTGTGTATATTGTATGTTCTCCACTAATTGTACAGTGCTGCGGAATCTGTTGGCGCTTTATAAAAACCAGTTATAATAATAATAATTACTGGAGACTATTCTCTGTAAACAAAGCACCCATGTCCAGTCACCTATACACATATTTGCCCAGGTGTAGTTATAAGATAGTTGGAGAAGTACCTGTGACTTTCCCAGTTATAGAATGAATGGATTACACTGTGATCACTACACAAGAGAACGAACGTTGCTGGTTAAGAGGTGCATTAAAGAAATAGTTGTGCCTCACTTTAAGTTCAGTTCATAGTCTGTTACATATGAACATAGCATTTAGTAGCAGACAAGTGGATGGCATTAGTTTATTTGCATCTATGTATTTATGATCACTGAACACTAGGATATCCTAGCCAGCTTTGGGATTAGGAATTTACCATTTTCCTAGGTATCAGCATTTATGTTCCTACTAGGAAGAGTAAGTTCTAAGAAAGAGATATCTGACCCATCGGGTATGATAATTAGTTAAAATTGTCACATTGGTCCTGTTTTCCTGGACAGTTGTAAGATCCCTAAACTTTCAGGACTTACATGAACAAGTAGAATCCGTACTATAATGTAATCTCTAATCAGTCCAATAGAAAAAAAATCACCATTTTAAATGTTTTAAAGGTTCCTCTGAGCACCATGACTTGTTAAGCGCCTGGCATCTGTATGTGCATCATTTTGCTTTAAAACGTACTGAGATTAATGCCTACACTGCTGTAGATGTAACTCAAACCTCTGGCAGCATCATTACCCAGCTCAAAACAATGTTCCTGGCATCAGACGCCATGAACAGGCAGCCTGCCCACCCGCCCTTGTTCTACACTCAGTCAGTCCTCCCTTGCCCACTGGGGATGGTGAGTGACATCAGGCAAGGAGGATCGGGCTGAGGGAGAACTTTGGTGAGGAAAAAAGAGGCAAGGTTTAAATTTGTGGTTTTTTTTTAAATGTTTGGGCAGAGACCAGCACAAAGGGCTTACTACAACCAAAGAATTTTTTTTTTTTTTGGAGTAATCGATAATGATTCACATTCTTCTGAGTTAATATTGTGATATATTAAACTTGTAGCAATTAAACATTACATTCAATTCTGTTCACCTATTTTGGAGGATCAAAGCATTCAAAATACAATATATTATTTAAACAATTAAATGAGCTTGAATCTTCTATAGCATATAAAAATGTAATGGACAATGCCAGTGGGACCAAAATATGGAATGTTTCTATTTAACTATTTTTTTTCTTTTATAGAAAAACGATGGAGTAGAACAGTAAGTAAAACCATCTATGCTCTCATGTCTCCATGGGTTCAGTTGCAGAGAATAGTCAATGCCATCAATGTTTTGAGTTTTAATACAATTCACATCTATAAATTATTCAGTAATCTCTAAATCCCGTACAAATGGATTGGCTATGGGCTTCCCTTGTCTAAAACAACTGCCATAAGTTTTTCTTAGCTATGTATTATGTTTCATATAAGGCCCCTTTGTGGGACCATCCAGCAATGATTTTTAAAACAAATATATTTTGAACAATAGAAGCATAATCAGCATTATCCATTGAGTATCTGCAACATTTGGGAACTGCAATTGCACTTATCATAGCTGGTACTTGAGCAACCAAAAAAAGGGAGATGTACATTTTTATAATATGTATGACGTGTTATATATGCTAAAAGTGCCAGAAATGCAAACTGTGTTCTAGCTTTTAGTGCATTGACTTTTTTACAATCACATCTACTGTATATGTTACACACTGTTTTATAGACACGTAAACTCAGTCGTCTGCTTCCTTGCAAGGGAGGCACGGATTCCCCATTCAATCAACGTTCACTTGTCACATTGGATTTCAATCAAGATCGGGATAAATCTTATGGTAAGTGAACTGCTCCCTGTGGTAAGATAACTATAGCAGATGAAACTGGTGGATTGGTGTTTCCCAGGATTTCCCACACTTCAGGTCCTGAGCTGAATTCTCACTGAAGTCAACGGGCACCCATCTCCAGACCATTTTGTTATCCTTAAGCTGTGAATTATAACTAGAGGGTCAGCGAATCACCCCAGAGAGTAATGGCTTACGCGCGGATTTGTGGCACAATGTGTCCCTTGATATTGTCTTCTACTCTGTGGTGACTTCTAGTATTGGATATTTCCATCAGTGATTTAGACTTGTCTCTTGTTTTCTCAAGTCTGTTTCTAAAACCTGACTTTTCCTTTCTCTACAGCCATGAGCAATTCATTTTACATCTTTCATGAAAAAGTCCCTTTTGATAATTGGAAGAAGTTCATGAGAAGATTGAATTTAGAAGAAAATAAGATTCGAGAAGCAGAATCCAAAGACCCTGGGAATGCCAAAGAACAGCACTACAACATGTTGAACTTTTGGTATCAGAGCTCATCGGGTAGTGTGAATGATTTACTGAAAGCACTCTCTGATCTCAAAATGCATCAACAATCTCTAGACATCATAGATGAACTTTTGAAAGAAAATCTCTTTGTGGTTGCACAAACTGTATAACTATGTAGATATTGTATATACTGTATATTTGTAAATAGCAGTGTTTCTATAAATTAATTTTAAATATATTTTTTAAATACCAAAAAAAAAAATAAAAAAAAATAAACAGTATACCACATGATGGCTCTGGTAACATGATTGGGACACACTATGTGGTATAGCTGCCTGTATTTTGTGAATGCATGGCATGGCTCAAAATGAAGGAAATCCTTTGACCACACACTTTCTTCTGTGGGAAAGGTGGGGGGAGGGTTGAAAAAATAGTATATGGTTGGGCAATTATACATGCCACTTTTCTTATTATGTTCAATAGTTTTTATTGAGGCAGTATCTTTCTTTTTTTGTTCTTTCTTTTTGAGTGCAGAGCAAATTACAGGTGTAAGCAGTGACTTATTCAGTACAATATATTGTAAACAATTGGCATAGGTAGTCAAGAGATGCTGCACTTTTTTTTTTTTTTGTGATAAGATAGGAACATGAGTAAGACAAGATAAGACAGAATAGTGATGTACAAGGTATGAAACAGTCGAGTGTCATTCTAGGCGGGTTTGTCTAGGTTGCAGGCGTTTTAGCTGTACTAAGATGCGAGGAGCTGTTTAATAAAATCATGCTTAGGCAAAGGAACTGGCTTTACCATTGACATTTAAATAGTCAGTAATATGCCTTAAACTATACAAGTCGGTCCCAACCCTATTAAATTCTAAAACATGCCAGACTGCGTGAAGACATTAGTAGGGAGTAATCCCCAAGGCCACACTCCCAAAAATCATAGCTACATTGCCCGGGGGGGCACAAGATTTCCAGACAATGTATAGATAGGGTTATGTGTGAGGAGTAGTAATGCTTACTATAAAAAGAGCTGTCGGGGGGCACTACAAGGCAGGAGTCGAGCGTGGGAGCCCTCCAGCCCCAGGCATTAGAAAAGACCGGCATCACAAGACCTCCAACACGAGGCCAAGTCTCTCCCTTTCAAGGGACGGCCGAAGCTCCTGGTGGTGCATCGCCGCCAGAGGCGGTGGTACTTCAGCCTCTGTGGCAAATGCAAGGGTATTCTATCCCTGGTGGTCTTACGCCCAGGAGGGCCTGATGGAGTATTTCCAGGTGCTTGACGGGTTGCGCCCTGAGGGGACCCACTCATCCCCTGCAGATCGGTGCCATGCCCCTTCACCTGTATCTGGTGCGATGTCTCCGTTTCACAAGCCTCCATTTTTGCCCAGAATCTTGCCAGGATCGTGTCTACGTTTAGTAGTAGTCGCTCAATGGGGTCTGGCATGGGTCTCGCTGAGTGTGGTTTGCTAGGCTGTATGAAGTTGAGTGGGGCCGCCGGACTCTGCCATGTAAAGGACTCAGAGAGCGGCCGTCTCTCCGGAGCCCACGCTTGTGTAGGCCGCAAGCCTCAGTGTCAGCGTTTTGGTAGGTGAGGTGACAAAGTTTGGTGTCGCTGGTTGCGCCGTTGTTCCCTTTACTAGGACAACTTCGGCACTGGTTCAGATGAGCAAGCAGCTCGGCTTTATCGTAGAATTTCTGACCTGGTTTGTGGAGCTCAGGCGATGCACGTCTTGTCAGCTCAGCATCCAGGCCCCGCCCCCGAGGCAGTATCTTTCAATAAACTATGTTGATGTTGTCAAAGCCTCATTTATAAAAGCCTAATTGCTCTAGTGGGGTAAAATATCAGAGTATTGTCAGTTACTGAATAGGTGGCCTTCCAACAATTTGTGCAAGTACCAATTTGTTTTTTGTTTTTTTTACAATATATCTATTTTTCCAACTCCACTGTTGTGACCTCATCCAGGGAATGAATATATTTTTGCCAGGTTTGGAGAATTTTATTTATCTATTTATTTATTTATTTATTTATTTATTTATTTTTACTTAATATGCTTTTGTGTCATCGATTATACCCAATCCATTCTAAAGGAATGGGAAAGTTTGGCTTTCAGTGGTGATATGGTTGGGGCCTCCATCTCGATAAATTTGTGTAAAATTGATTTCCAAGCCACAGCAAGTACTATAGGGATACGTTAGGAGTGGGTTTTATGGATATAGGGCACAATGCCCAATATTGTTATTTTCAGAGTACATGGATAGTTAAATTTGTAATGGAGGTAATACAAGTCGTATCCTTTCTTTAACACTGGCTTACCTCAGAAAATAAACCATAGTAAAGATCCAATGTCCCCCAAAAGGAGAGGGTGCATGAGACAGTTAGCACTGGTATATTGATGTTTGGACTTTTGAAGAGGAGTCAAGATAGGTTTTATAGGCTTTTAAAAGGTTAGAGTGATGACAGTCACATTGCAAAGTGTTTTGTTTTTTAAAATTTTGACACAATATATGAGATATCCAGCATTGCAGTGAAAAGGTTGTCTGCAAGCAGATTGATAGGGAATTGCTAATGCCTGGACTGGGTCAGGAGTGATCCCAGAGATAGAGAAAGGGTTACTAGGGTGTGATCAGAAATCATAATCTTGTGATTATCTTGACTTTGAAGAGCAGGTTAGAAGAAATGAGGAAGTAGTCCAATCTAAAGACTGAGTGCTAGGCCTGGGAGACATGCCTGTAATGTCTGACCTTAGTGTTTAAGAGTCTCCACATATTTGTCAGGTGAGGTAAAAAGTGGAGAGGATGTGTACAGTTGATCACATCAGTTGGATCACATCAGTCTGTCCACCTCTGTCCACCTCTGCATCAAGGACTTTAAGGTCACCTCCCAACAGTAGTTTAGTGTAGACAGGGCTGGAGCTACCATATATCGGCACAGGCGTCCCCCTTAGGGTGCACTAGCTTTGGGGGAGCAAGATCTTGCTGACCAGCTGGAGGAGAGTGCACTGCACAATGCTCCCCTCCAGCCTGTCACTCCTGTATAGCATGCCCAAGCCGCGGACCAGGGGAAAAGAGCTTCGGTAACCTCTACCTCGGTCTGACAGAAAGTGCACACAGGGGACGCCGAACTGTTTCCTGTCTGACTGGGGAAAGATTACTGACGTTCCTCTCCACAGGTCCATGGTTCGGCCACGCTACAGAGGAGTGAGGTGAGGAGACACATGGAAGGAAGGGGAAAGGGAGTACAGAGGGAGTGGAGAAAATTAGACACATGGGGGGGTACTGGAGAAATGAATCACACGGGGGACTGGAGTATTAAGACATGTGGGTAGGGGGAATGAGATAAAATAGGGGGAAGGAAGAATGAGACATATGGGAGGGACTAGGGGAATGAGACACAAAAATTGAGTGGCTGGGGGAGGACCTAAGACACATGGAGGAGCTGGGGGGAATAAGACACATGGATTGGAGAGGCTATGGGAGACAAAGAGACATAGAAAGGCTGGGAGAGAAAGAGACAAGATGCTGGGGAAATGAGACACACAAAAGGACAGGGAAGTGAGAAAGACACACAAAATTGGCTGGTGAGAAAAAAAGACACACAGAGGGGCTGGGGGGCACAAAAAGGAAGGGGTACAAGACACAGACAGGGGCTGGGGAAGAGGTAAAAGACACAAAGAAGTTGGATGAGGGAAAAAGACAGACAGAAAGGCTGGGGAATGGGAGAAAGAGACACACAAAGCGGCTTGGGGACAGAAAGATTCACAAAGGGGCTTGGGGAGAAAGAGACACCCAAAGGGGCTGGAAGAGAGTAAGAGACATAAAGGGTGTGTAAGAGACACACAGCGGGAAAAAATGGGGTATATGATATACTAAAGGGTAGTGTAATACAAAGGAGGACAAGATACATGAAAAACATTCAAAAGAGAGGATAAGAAACACACAAGGGGGTATGGAAATCAGGAGGAAGATTAAGGAACACACAGGTGTAGCCAAAGCTCCTTGCACCGGCCCTTAGTGTGGAATGAAGCTTCAGGAGTGTTTGGAGCATAAATATTCTGTGTTTTTCATCCCAATTATTCCAATTAATATAATGTAACCCCTCTGGGTCTGTAAATCGTTGTAGGATATTGGCATGTAGAGAAGTATAGCCACCTCACTGGAGTTAGATTTACAGAATGTGGTGATTCAGTGGCTTCTCCATTTGGCTTCTAAACCTTCTAAATTACTAGGTTTCCAGTGGACCTCTTAGTGGAAGACTATGTGAGGATCAAAATAAATCCTTGCTCTGTATGACTGTCTGTGTATCTCTGCATTAATGTATGTCTGTGTTTATATCACAATGTTCCTGTATGCATAGATTGTATGACTGTGTTTGTTTGTGTGCCTTTTATGACTGTGTGTCCGAATAACTGTGTCTGCGTGTCTGTATGATTGTGTTTGTCTCTTTGTGCAAGTATGACTGTGTTTGTTTGATTGTGTGCCTTTTATGACTGTGTGCGTGAATAACTGTCTGTGTGCCTGTGTGTTTGTATGTATTTTGCCTGTCTAGCTAGGCTTACATGGGAGAAAGAGACACAGAAATGGGCTGGTGGTAAAAAACCTACACACAAAGGGGCTGGTGTTGAAGTAAGAGATACACAAGGGGTAAGAGACACACATATTGGTGTAAGACACAATAAAGGGGATGTAAGACACAAAGGGACAAAATGGATATATAGTCAAGAAAGGGGATATGAAACACTAAAGAGGGTAAAAAATTCAAAATTGGGGTTACAGGACACGGAGGTGAAAATGCATTTCGGGGGTGGCAAAATGCATCTTCACCTGTGTAACCAAACATTCTTGCACCGACTGTGAGTGCTATCCTGGCGTGTTAGTCGATAACGTGCAGGAAAGAGCAGCATGAACTTAATTTTCTTTTCCGTTAGCTCTTTACAAATGGGAATATATTTTTTGCAAGGCATATACAGTACATTCAAAATCTATCTGCAGAAGATATAGTCCTAGTACAGTAGGTTCTGCTGCAGCAGAAATATTGGTATGAAAAAGAAGAAAATAAGTATTTATCGTTAACTATCGAGATATAGTTTAACTTACAATCCAAGACTGGGGAACAGGTAATATTGATCCCAAGCAGTTCCCCTTGCGGGAGTCTGAGACAGAGGTTCTGGAGGTTGTCAGGTGGTACCTGGTAGGCATTAGGATTTCGAAAGCATGAGTTTACACAAAGCTCCATGCAGTTGTGGCCGCTATGGTTGGTTCCTCTTTGGGAAGTGAGACTTTCCTTATTACAGTGGTAACAAATCCATAGCCAGGAATAGGTATTCAACCCGAGCTTTTTAAAGACAGAGAATGGGTATGGCAGATGGAAGGGGTTTTGCTGAGAATTGGGATGTTATGCCACCACTAATGATAAGCATTCCTACTAAAATGAGTATGTTAGTTTAATTGCATCTCATGCATAGAGCCCTGTTGAAGCAATCTCAGATAAAGAAAATGTTTTTCTAATGACATACTTGCACTGTTAGCTGGTGACTTGTCTCTGGCGTCCATACAAGTGGGATACCAGAAAACAAAAGTAGGACAGGTCTGGCAGAGGGTGTTGTTCATGTGAGGCAGGGGCGGCTTTAGACTTTGTGAGGCCTTAGGCGAAACTCAAAATGAGGCCCCCACTAACACACAAAGTAAAATAAAAATAGGGGTTGCATTATGTGTGTGTAAAAGGAGCAGTCGTTGTATTGAAAGGCAGGCTTGCAGCACTGGATACAGAGAGTTAGTCTCTGCATTCATTGTTCAGATGCTTGCAGTGTCGCGGCTCCCTGTGCCGCTGTAGTTGTAGCATAATTTGCAAACAAGATGTAATTTGCATAAACGAATGCCAGGCTATGTAACCATACCCCATACACAATTTTGGGGTATGGTTGCATAGCCTGGCATTCGTACAGATAAGTGCTGGTGTGAAGGGATTATTGAAAACAAATACGAAAATTTTGTTTGAGCAAAAAAGCTTTAAAAAAATTATTTACTGAATAGTAAACTTACAGATAAACAGTGCTATAGACATTTCCCCACATATTCTATAATCCTGTTCACATCCTATATAATGTACATGTGTTTGCCCATGTGTTGTATATTTTTGTATATTATATATATATTGCCACTTTACCTTTGCATTGCCCATACCATACCACCCTCAAATTGCAGTCACAGACATAAAACACTAAAATATGCACACTCTGAAACACACTGATACACAGAGACACACACATTTACAAATGACAAACAGATACAGTGTATCTGGCACTGTCTAACTGTATGTGCCTGAGAGTGTGCGTCTAACATAGAGTATCCTTGTGTGTAAATGTATGTCTCTGTGAGAATGTGTATGTTTGTGTCAGGGTATGTGTGTGGGGCAGGGCCGGACTGGGAAAAAAATTCGGCCCGGGCATTTTTTAATTACAGCGGCCCACTACAAAGGGGGCGGGGCCAGATAGGGTGTGCTTGGTCATCACCAATGACAAGCACGCCCCATCACAAAGTGAGCATGTTGGTTCAATGCTCTTCCAGGGTAGACCATGCGCAGAGCTCTGCTGAAGAGCTCTGGCATGAGAAAAAGACCCTGTATTTGGTCTGCACAGCGCAAGCAAATTCAATAACATGCTTGCACTGTGTTTGCTTGAAATTTGTCTCTGGTGTCTCCATAGTTGGGATACCAGGAGACAAAAATTCCAGGAAAGCATATTGTGCAGTGTGTGTGAGGGTGTTGTGTGTGTATGTGAGGGGTGTAGTGTGTTAGTGATGGGTGCTGTGTTTGCGTGAGGGTGCTATGTGGGTAAGGGTGCTGTGTGTGCTGTGTGTGATTGGGTGCTGTGTTTGCGTGAGGGTGCCATGTGTGTTTGAGGAAGCTGTGTGTGTCAGGGGTGCAGTGTGTGTGTGTGTTGGTGTTGTAAGTATTAGGGGTGCAGTGTGTGTGTGCTGTGCGTGTCAGGGGTGCAGTGAGTGTGTGCTATGCGTGTCAGGGGTGCAGTGTGTGTGTGTGTGTGTGTGTGTGAGGGTGCTGTAAGTGTTAGGGGTGCAGTGTGTGTGTGTTGTGAGTGTCAGGGGTGCAGTGTGTGTGTGTGTGTGAGGATGCTGTAAGTGTTAGGGGTTCAGTGTGTGTCTCCTGTGAGTGTCAGGGGTGCAGTGTGTGTGTGTGTGTGTGTGCTGTGAGTGTCAGGGGTGCAGTGTGTGTGTGTGCTGTGAGTGTCAGGGGTGCAGTGTGTGTTAGTGTGTGAGTGAGGGTGCTGTGAGTGTCAGGTGTACAGTGTGTGTGTGGAGTGTCAGGGGTGCAGTGTGTGTGTGAGTGAGGGTGCTGTGAGTGTCAGGAGTGCAGTGTGTGTGCTGTGAGTGTCAGGGGTGCAGTGTGTGTGTGTGTGTGAGTGTCAGGGGTGCAGTGTGTGTTAGTGTGTGAGTGAGGGTGCTGTGAGTGTCAGGGGTGCAATGTGTGTGTGTGTGTGTGAGGGTGCTGTGTTAGGGTGCAGTGTGTGTGTGTAAGGGTGCTGTAAGTGTTAGGGGTGCAGTGTGTGTGTGTGCTGTGAGTGTCAGGGGTGCAGTGTGTGTGTGTGTGTGAGGGTGCTGTAAGTGTTAGGGGTGCAGTGTGTGTGTGTGTGAGTGAGGGTGCTGGGAGTGTTAGGGGTGTCTGTGAGGCTGATGTGAGTTAGGTGATTATATCCCCCCTCCCTGCTTACCTTATGCGTGGGAGGGGGGGGATCCTGCTGCTGGGGCTGCCATCCATCCCTGGTGGTCTTAGTGGTGAGTGAACTCTAGCCTGTGAGGCTAGAGTTCACTCTCGCGAGATCCGGTCGTTGCCATGGCAACGCTCAGGATCTCGCGAGAGGAACCCGGCGGAGATGCAAGATAGAGCTCCGCCGGGTCCTCTCTCCTGGCTGTCTCCCTCCCTCTCTCCCCGCCGGCGGCCGCACTATCCTGCATGTGGGCCGGTGAGGGAGATCTCTGATCTCCCCACCGGCCCGCCGTGGACTGCTGCAGGGCCGGCGCTTGGATAGTGCCGGCCCTGCAAAGACCGGCAGGGGAGATCCTGGGACCTCCCCTGCCGGCCTCGGCCCATGGCCACCGCGGCCCACCGGGCATTTGCCCGGTGTGCCCGATGGCCAGTCCGGGCCTGGTGTGGGGTAGTTGCTTGCAGTGTGTTGTGTATATGGGGGTCTATGTGGCCTATGTGCATTGTGTTTATAGCAAATCTATGTTTCATTACTGTGTGTTTATGATGAATGCTGTGACCAGCTGGCATGCTGCTGTGGCTGGTTGGCAGGCAGGCTGGCTGCTGTGGCTAGATGTGGCTGCCTGGCATTCGTTTCTCCAGTACTGGGTACAATACTCCAAGTGAGGTCTCACCAGTGTTCTGTACAATGGTATGAGCACTTCTCTCTTTCTACTGCTAATCCTTCTCCCTATACAACCAAGCATTCTGCTAGCATTTCCTACTGCTCTATTACATTGTCTTCCAACCTTTAAGTCATCTGAAATAATTACCCCTAAATCCCTTTCCTCAGATGTTGAGGTTAGGATTCTATCAGATATTCTATACCAGGGGTAGGCAACCTTTTAGCAGCACTGTGCCGATATAGGATTGTGATGTCCCGTAGCGTGCCGATCCTCAGGCCCGTCGCTACCAGGCAAGCTAACCAAGCAATTGCTTGGGGCTTCCTATAAAGCACTGCCTCTCTCATCACCTCCCCTTCCCTGTAGCGTGGCCGAGCTCCTCTTCCTCCTGTCAGTCTGGAAGAGGTACAGGAGATTCAGTTTCCTGTTCCCGGCTGGACTGACAGGAAGTGCACCCTGAGCTCGGCCACGCTACAGGGAAGGGGAGGTGAGAAGAACATAGGGAGGGGGAGGAGGAGTAAAAAGAACATAGGCGGGGGAGTAAGAAGGATAAGGGGGGAGGGGAGTAAGAAGGACAGGGGAGTAAGAAGGACACATTGGGAGGGGAGTAAGAAAGACATAGGAGGGGAGTAAGAAGAACATGGGGAGGGGGAGAGTAGTAAGAAGAACAGTAAGAAGGGGGGAGGAGTAAGAAGAACATGGGGGCAGTAAGAAGAACATAGGGAGGGGGGAAGGAGTAAGAAGAACACAGGGAGGGGGAGGAGTAAGAAGAACACAGGGAGGGGGGTTGAGGAGATGAGGAGAACACATGGAGGGGGAGGTGAGGAGAAGGGGAGATTAGGAGAACACAGGGAGGGATGAGGTGAGGAGAAGGGGAGATTAGGAGAACACGGGGGGTGAGGAGAGGGGGAGGAATGAGGAGAACACAGGGAAGGGTGAGGAGAAAGAGGAGATGGGGAGAACACAGGGAGGGGGGTGAGGATAAGGGGAGATGAGGAGATGAGGAGAACACAGGGAGGGGGGGTGAGTAGAACGGGAGATGAGGAGAACACAGGGAATTTTCAATTGTTGAAAATGTTCACATTTTATGCACATTATATGCAACAGCAGTATTTGCACTGTAAACATTTTTTATTTGTGCACAGTATATGCAACAGCAGTATTTGCACTGTAAACCCTTTTTTATTTATATAAAGTGTGGGTGAACTTAAACTGTATGGCTATGCTGCGGGAGGGGGGGGGGAGAGGTTGAGGGGGCGCCTCCATGTCCATTTTGCTTGGGTCCCCCAAATTCCTTCAAACGGCCCTGCCAATCCTATTTTTTTAAATTGAGGTGTGCGTGCTGCCGTATTCTGCTTGTGTTATTTATACTGTAATTGCTTTGTATAATTGTATTTGTGTGTATATGAGCTATTATATCGTATATGTTCATTAGTAGTTTATGGTATCGTGTATGATACATATGAATGTGGGCTGTGTATGAGGGCTTTGTGCGTGGGTGGATATGTCATATTGTGTGTTTGGTAGTGTATGGTTGCTGTTTGGGGTTTTGCATGTGAGAGGCTACATGTGGGATTGTGTGCATGTATGTAGATTGTTAGTGGTGTTGCGTTTGTGGGGATTGTGTGTATGTTTGCGTGTGGGCTGTTCGTATTATTTGTATGAGGGGAGGCTTATTCTGCAGGTCTGTGTATATCTAGCAGTGTGGGTGGCTTCCCTGGGTTCCAGTGGGGACCAGCCTGGGCAGGTACAGGTCAAGGACAGGAGCTGCAACATCAGCTGTGGCTGCTCTACTACAGTGTGGATTCCCATTCACAAGTGCTGGGAGGAAGTGATCTGAGATCACTTCCTGTAAGTGCTGCAACGCATAAATTGAGGATTGTCCTTCACTACCTCTTTGTATTAGCAGATATCTGAAGTTTCACTGAGACTCCTGATAGGCCAGACCCTGTTTGGCTCTAGCAGCCTTGAGTGCCGTGGAAAGACACCTCGAGTGCCGTGCATGGCACTAGTGCCGTAGGTTGCCTACCCCTGTTCTATACTCTGCCCTTGGGTTTTTACGTCCAAGGTACATTATCTTGTACTTATCCACATTAAATGTCAGTTGCCACAACTCTGACCATTTTTCTAATTTATCTAAATCATTTGCCATTTGGCTTATCCTTAGTGAAGCATCAACCCTGTTGCAAATTTTAGTATCATCAGCAAAACGACATACCTTACCATCAAGATCTTCTGCAATATCACTAATAAAAATATTAAAGAGAATAGGTCCAAGTAAAGATCCCTGAGGTACCCCATTGGAAACTAGACCTTGCATTGAATATACTCTGTTGACTACAACGCTCTGTTGCCTGTCATTTAGCCACTGCCTTACCCATTCAACAATATTGGAATCCAAACTTAAAGATTGCAGTTTATTGATGAGCCTTCTATGTGGAACAGTGTCAAAAGCCTTACTTAAATCTAGGTAAGCAATGTCTACTGCACCACCCTGATCTATTGTTTTAGTTACCCAATCATAAAAATCAATAAGTTTAGTTTGGCATGATTTCCCTGAAGTAAATCCATGTTGTCTCTGATCTTGAAATCCATGTGATTTTAGATGTTCAACAAGCCTATCCTTTAACATGGTTTCCATCACTTTATCCACTACTTAAGTAAAGCTTACTGGCCTATATTCGCTCGACTCCTCCCTATTACCTTTCTTGTGAATGGGTACAACATTCGCTAATTACCAATTTTCTGAGACTACTCCTGTTAACAATGATTGGTTAAATAAATCTGTAAGTGGTTTTGCTAGTACACCACTAAGCTCTTTTAATACGCTCTTTGAATAATAAAAATATTCATTGAGGAAGTCAGCTAGACCTCTTCTAAATACCTTCCTTCTTTTATTTTTAATCTAACTAATCCTTGTTTTACTTCCCTTTTCTAATTTATGTATCTTAAAAATGTTTTATCCCCTAGTTTTACTGACTGTGCTATTATTCTCTCATCTGAGTGTGCTTTGGAGGCTCTTATAACTTGCTTAGCCTCTTTCTGTCTAATCTTATAGATCTGTCTGTCTTCCTCACTGTTTTTTTTTTTTTTTTTTGAATTACTGAATGCTAACTTTTTGGTTTTTTTTACTATTTTGGCCACTTCTGCGGAGCACCACAGTAGTTTCTTAATTTTTCTGCTCTTCCTGACGAGCCTAATGGAATTTTCTGTTGCTTTCAGTAGTGCAACTTTTAAATAATCCAATTTCTCCTGGACTCCATTTGAACTGCTCCAGTCTGATAAGGACTCCTTTACGCATATTCTAATTTTAGAAAAGTCTGTTTTTCTAAAATCTACAACTTTTGTTTTTGTGTGGTGTGGCATTTTTCTTATATTAAACCACACTCACTGGTGATCACAAGATCCTAAACCTTCACCTACAGTAATATCTGCTACTAAATCTCCATTTGTTAACACTAAATCTAGTATGGCTGCCTTACGAGTTGGTTCCTCAACGACTTGTTTTAGAGCTAATCTCAGCATGATCCTAGTGCCCTTCTCACAGTGCAAGAATTTCTAATGGCACTATCTGGGAACAGTTTTCTGTTCCAGTTACTTAGAAATAACCTGAGACAGCAGGGCAGAGGCCCAGAAATGGGACAGTTAAAGAGATACATGATGTCACACCTCATAGCCCATCAGCCTTCATCTGTCAAACAC